TTTTCACCCTCTCTATCATCTGATTACGTAACGCAAAAAGTTTCCATTGTGTATGATCATTATTGTTCGGGATAAAATGTTTTATTATTGTATGCATATATTGATTGTTTGATTTTTGTTTAAAATGAACTCTGTGCAAGTATGTTAAAATTGTTTCTGTAGACATACCTATAATAATGACTTTGGCCTGTAAGCAGCTGATGAGAGGCCAACGAAATAAATGATGGTACAATTTTATTCTGCAAAACCTGTTGTTCTTGCTAACTGAGATGGTGAAGTCACCTAGCATGATGACAATATCATTAATTTGACTTCAATCAGTACCAACACCTAAAACTAGACAAATGACATGGGTTACACCCCCCCAGTGACCAATCAGCGTATCCATTACAGTTTTACAGGAGGTCAATCGTGAGCCTGAATAGCTCTCAGTGGTAACGTCTCTGACTGTGGTACTTGGTGACACGGAATCGAATCACAGAGGAGAATGAGTTCCTTCAGGGATACAGATATGCCTCGTCGATGAGTGTCAACAAGCACGCGACCTAGGTCCATGGCTCCCTGCCGATCGCCTCCAACCATCATACATCAGATCCTAGTAACCAATCAATGTATTCCCTCTTCTCTTACACATTTATATTTATCGATTATGTCGTTGTTGTATTTCTATTCATTTAATTTTCATATGCTGTTCTAAAGTGTCAAGATTAGAACTGATATACTTCTATGAAGGAATCTGCATTGATGCATCTATCTAGTAGTGTTGATTTAGTATTTTACTTTGACAAATTCTTGATTGAAAATTCTTTCCAGAGAAGAACAAAACAACTGGACAAGAGGGTGAGTAAAAAATATATGGAAATAACTAACCACATTTCAACGTCATCGGGAAGGGCTGGTTAATAAACTCATAAAGAATTCTAAAAACTCATCACCTCATATTGAAGTCAGAGGTGCAGATGTTGTCTAAGGAGACATTGGGAGTTTCCCCGTTAAACCATCCTGCTTACAGAATATAATTACATCAGTGGTGTCCACCTGAGCTACAAATCTTCTCTATCACTTCTAAATGAATATGTGAGATTTTTGTTGGACTCTTTCTAAATCAACTAATAAATCTTGATACCGATCGTGTTTTTTTAGTGTAGTCAGTAGTAACATTCAACTAAAAGCACAGTATTTTAATTAAATATAAAATTGATCCCATAGAATTTTATCAGCTTATAATAATGTTCATTCGTTTACATTAAACGTGGACATGGAATGAAAATCATATTAGATGGCGGGTGTTTGACATCCCATGGTGAAACCAACAAGCTAAACGACATGACCTGACCACTCTGAACTTTTATAAAATCTATTGACATCCAACATAGGATCTCACAACAGACTGATTTAAAATGAATAAGTATTACTTATATCTGGTTCAATCTCATTCAAGAGCAATATGACAATGGCAAGTGTCTGGTGGTCCACAACGGAAAACTCAGCGAGGCGTTCGAAGTACATACAGGAGTAAGACAAGCTGAATGCCTATTATTACCGATGATATTCTGAATTGCGGTGAACTGGATCACGCGTCAGAGTGTTCACTGGGATCGAGGAGGAGACAATAATACGGTTGATAACCGATAATTAGTCTCTAGAAAGTCTGGATTTAGCAGATGATTCATGTTTAATGTCACTCAGGCTGGAAGATTTGCAGGCGAGAACCGACAAACTGGCTGAAGAAGCAGCGAAGATAGGACTCCAAGTGAACATAGGGAAGACAGAGGTGATGAAGATAACCAACCAACAGCAACAACAACCAGCACCAATCACCACCAACGGGAGAGATTTAACAGAGGTTACTTCTTTCACTTATCTGGGAAGCATCGTTTCAACTACAGGCAGTTAGAACGGATGAAGATGTCAAAGCCAACCAAAATCAGAAAGACAAGATACGCCTTCATCAACCTCAAGCCAGTTTGGAAATCTTCTGAACTGACTCAGCATAAAGAATAAGACTCAGATTTTCAAAACATATGTCAAGGCAGTCAGTCAGTTCTTCTATACGGGTCAGAAACTTGCACTGCTCTTCACAAAAAGCATTTCCAACAGGCCAGTGTAGACTTTTGTTAAAAGCTGTCTTCACTGGCTGGATACTGAAGGTCAAATGGCCAGCCAGAAACAATTAGTAACAATAAACTCTGGCAAAAAACCAGCCAAGAACCGATCGCTCAACAAATATGTAGGAGAAAATGGAGATTGATCGGGCAGACGTTGAAGAGGCCGTCCAATGACATTGCGCTCATCGCTTGAGTGGGATTCAAACGGGAAGCGACAAGTGGGTCTTCCTGGGGTGACATGGAAGAGATCGTGTGAGGTGGAGATGAGAGATTATGGTTAGTCGTGAATCCAGCCGAAGAGGACAGCACCTAATAGAATAGGGAATGTATTGTTGAAGCCGTATGTTCCATTCGGAACCCAAGGGAATAATAATATTTGGCTAGATGAACGTTCAATAAATTCACCACCTTCCGTCTTTTCCTTCATTTATTCTCATTATCATTAATCCGATGACTATCTTATTCAATAAAAAAAGGACAATTTGAAAGTACTATTGGTCAACTGCTTGTAACTTTTTTCACTAATTTTGCCAATAATTTCAAAGACTTTAGCTTCACAGTATCATGACTGGTCTACCACAGTAAAATTTCAGTCAGTTGGCAATCGACGAAACTTTTGCTTTTGAGTAGCACATGTAAATTAGTAAAATCACGTGACTTTTTATTCTCAGTAACGACTTTCTTCTCACAATCAAGTCCACTCGTGTGAGCACTACCTTTAAGACAAACGTGGTAGAGGAATATAGTGTAGCAGCTATCATCGTTTGATAACCTTAAAATACAGAAGATTTTCCAACATCAGTGTTTAGTTAAGACATTCATAATATCTTAACCTGATCACTATTTCCATGTAGGTGAATTAACGGTGGGAATAGTTTTATGAGGTTGAGACAGCCTATTTACGACTTACCGAACAGCTTTCAAATTACCATAAAGAAGATGATCCACGATAACCTGCCGATCGAATCCTAGAAATAGATATGCACCTTTGGTAAAGAGAATGATGCAACGAGAGCCTATAATACATACGCTTATCTATCATACTATATAAATTAAACTCAAAGCTTTCGAGCGAGAAGTATCATCATCAGTTAGACGTCGACTTGTTACCTTCTAATGCTAATGTGTTGACCTTAAGGACACTTTCAAGTGTTTGTTTGGAGGGATTTGGTTCAGTTAGAAAACCACTGGAAAACCTGGGAGTACTGAACGGTTGTTTCATCCTTCTTTAGGACTCTTCTGCAGTAAGCATTCACCACCAAGGTTCGAACCCAAGACCTTCCGGCTACAAGACGACCTCAAAAACCATGCAGCCACTGGCCCGTGAAATCCAACTTCTGTCAATTCACGGTATACAACCAATCCACCCAAACAGTGCTATCGGTGAGTAACTGCTCTCTCTTATTTGACTTTTATCCAAAAATCTAAATTTACTAAACAAACAATGCCTAACAACAACAACTACTACTATTACGCAGTTACTATTGCCTGTCAGTCTTTCTAAAATACAACAGACTTCAGAAGGAAAGCAAACAACAACAAAAAAAAACTACTATCGTTTCCACGACATTTCTTCTCAGCATAAATCAACTATACACACATGGAATATAATTACACCACAATAACATTAGTATGAAATTAATAAAGAAGAAGACCACACTAGTGCATTTGTCACAACAGGATTATTTAAGAGTAATGCTTATTTTGTTTCTTTTTGCTTCGAAAGAATGCATCAACATACATGTAGAAAAAAGGAAAGACAGCTTTTGTTTAAGCTGACACAGCATATGAAGTAAAGAATAAGAAGTAAACAGTGCTGGGGCAAAAAAAGAGGAACACGAAAAAAAGGAGGGGGGGAGGAGAGGGGATGCATATGTTAAGGAAAGTGAGAGATGGTGGTTCACATTATAAAAAGAAATTAGGAAATAGTAATTCTGCATAATACTAACAATAATAATAGTAGTAGTATATTATTGTTGTTGTAGAAGTAATATGGGTTATAATATTGCTCACAGAATATAAACCACAGCGGTTCTACTAATACTACTACCTTCTGACAATGAGGATGAGTACGTACGTAGGTGAGGAAGGAAAAGAAGGAGAGGGGAGGTGATGAAGCAGGATAATAAGAGAATAACAAGACAACATTCGCCGTCTCCGATACCTTGGGGTTTGATGATTTGTTTGTGTTTTTATCTTTTATTTATGTAAATAACTGTAGAAAAGTTAATTGACTGTGAGTAATATTGAATTATTTGTTTTTTTTGCTATGACGTGAATTTCTAGAGCAAAGGGGTTAGGGGTAAATAAGACTCAAGTTTTTTCGTATGTGAACTGGTGAACTTTTATTTGTGTGATAGGAATAATGACACAGAGATCATGTGATAAGGAGATTTGTGAATGACAAAAAAACTCTGTAACCATTTTGGAGACATAACACAGAGCGAGGGAAGGGGGGAGGGAGAGAGAGATTTAAGGCAATAATATTAGATCATCATTATGCATAGAAAAAAGTGTTTAAGTATAGGCAATCGAAAGACCAAAAACTGAAAGGATGTGTATCATATGCAAGTACGAATGTGTATGCTATAATAAATAACTGAATAGGCACTGTATTCAAACTAAAAAAAAACAAACATTTACACATGTATATACACACGCACTCATTCACTCACTCACTGACTCACTTACCCGAGAGGTCATAGGTTAGATAGATGTTAAATGACAACATAGTGAAACAATGCATAAAAGCAGTCAGATAAATGGAGGTAGTCAGGAATTATTAAATAAACCCCGGGGGGAGAAAGGACTATATTCTGACTTCTGATTCACACATTAAGTGAATTGCATAGTTGAAACTCTACATAAAAGTAAATAACAATATAAACTTCTTTAATCAATCTGTTCGAGATTTTCATTTGATGTTGATGGAGGTAATGGTGTATTCGTGATAGCTGTATCAGTTGTACTAATTGATTCAGGTTGATCTGTAGACTGACTCGGATTTTGTCTACGTACACGATGACGACGATGACAATGATGTCGATGTTGACGTCGACATCGATGACGGTGTCGATTCTCCCAATATCTTGGTAAATTAGTCAGTAGAGAATTAGGTGATGCACCTGTCTCTATAGATTCTTTAATTTTACTGAGAAATTCATTGACAGTAATATTATTACTAGTGCTACCACCACTACTGCTCGTATTATTATTATTATCATCATTATTATTAGTAGAGGATTGTGACACATCTACTTTTGATGTTTGTATTGATGTTAAATTTGGAATATTTGTATATAAACGTTGCCAAGCATGAAATAAAGAGTTAAGAAACACTGGTTTACCATCTTTATTAGCGCATAGCATTAACCAATCCCATGTACTTCTCAGCACTTGATCAGAATCTAATTCTTGTAAGAAAGGCAATAGAATTTGACAAAATCCTGCTTCCCAATCTCGTCGAGAATGTGAAGATGATGATGATGTCGATTGAGATGGTGTAGAAGTAGATGGAATATTATCATGATTATTGTTATAGTTAGAAGTACTTTGTATATTATCTGTTTGTTCTGGACTATTAAGTTCAAAGCATTCTGTACTTGAAATATCCTCTGGATTTGAACCTAATTCACATTTTTGACTAGGTGAAGACATTGGACTAAGCAGATCAGAGTCTATTATACCTGAAGTTTGCATTTCTGTTGTAGTAACACGATCTTCATCACGCTCTTCATCAGCTAAAGGAGCTCGATCACTTATTGTCAAAGTAGGAGATAATGAACTCAAAGTGCCAGGATGTTGATTCATATCTTCTATATCTTCGTCAGTACAACTAGGCGATGATATTCCACACATATCAACTGCAACGGAATGATGTAAATTTGTCAGTTCAGTTGTTGCACTAGTTTCACCTTCTGCACATGAAGATGTCGATGATGTGCTTGATGATGACGATGATGGTGATCTTGAATGTGGAGAAGGCGATCGAGTAATTCCAGTGGATGCTTCAGTTGACTGTCTTTCTTGTTCAGTTATTTCTAACAGCTCACGGTTATCCGAAGCAGACGTGGAAGTCGGTTGTTGCCATGATCGATAATATCTTCTTCTTCGAAGTGTACGTAATCTTGTTTGATCGGTATTATTATTATTGTTATTATTATTATTATTATCATCATCATCGATAGAGAAAGATATACCCGCATCAGTAGTTTGAGGAGTTGTAGACGTCTGTTGAGATATAATTTCACCTGTAAGATCACTATGCTCTATAACTGTATCTTGTTCTTCATTTTCTTCTTCAGCTTCTTCTAAAGCACTTTGAGCCATACATGTAGATGCTTCACGACGACTAATACTGGAAGAGCCTAAAGATGTTGACTGAGTGACTACATCTTGTTTTTTTCCATGATGAGATTCATGACGATGATGTTGTACTCTTAAACGTCTACTATGGGATAAAATGAATGGTTTACGTTTCACTTTTAATGCACTTAACAATCCACAAGAATCTACAATAGAAGTGAACAGAATGTATGATGAATTATCACCTGTAACGTTTATAATGATAATAGTCATAATAAAGGTAACTTAGGGAGGATCAATCATTGTACGGATATTCTACGTGATAACACTCAAATCAGTGTTATTTTCAACCTGTAGCATTATACTATTTCAAAGTTTCACATGTTTTTTCTTCTTCTGGTTCATGATATCAATGAATTGCCTACTAGTGATTTGATTTTCCCGTTGTGTTTTGAAACAAAACGCGCGCGAATTTCAAATAGTACAATGTTAGGTTTATCGGGTTATGATAAACGTAATCGCAAGGTGTTTTTGCATAGGGTATCATAAACATCACACAATATTTATTAGATCTGTGTAAAAAAAGCCCTACAGAACACCTTCAAAATGGACAAAAGTAACATCTGATATGATCATAGGCATTCCACTTAACACGTAATGTAAAATCATATAACTCCAGATGCCCGGGAGATATGAAATAATGGTGTAACGGAATATTTATTTGGAATTTGGTACCTCCATATATGGCGAAATTATGTACACCTTGTCTTAAAATCTTCATTTACACAGACCTTCCATGTAGTGTCAATTTCTGCCCTTCGTATTGTGTTTTTGTCTTTTTTCGTGTCTCCCATGTTTCGCTGCAACGCTGGTTCATTTCCTGTCTTTGATTTCAAATCTATCTCTCCGCCACTTAATATTTTATTGCTGATGAACGTCTCTTTATATACTACTGATAAATCTTATCAGTAGCACACTCCACAGTAATTGACCACTCCTACTCTATCTAGTTAGGTTGGAGGAAACAAAGTAAAAATAAATTTATTGGACGATGACTCATATACTCACTTGGTTTTTCAAGCAATTCCCTAATTAACATATTCTATCCGATAGAAAGAACTTCTTGATGGGTGCACACAATATTTACTGGCGTTATGGTAAATTAAATTGCATATTATGTCTGTTAGATGAAGGGTTGTGACAACTGTGTACAGGCATGATTCATAATTAGAATTAAGTGCACGACTTTCTGCTGATAGTTCCCGAATTTAACAAAAATTAATTTACACTCTCCTGTTAAGGAACAAAATAATGATATAATATCTGCCAATTCAACTGTGGCCCACAGTTTTCCGCAATAAATACATCACACTTGGTAAGTAAGTATTGTGTAATTACTGTTGTGTGTGAGTCCAAGGGAAAACAAGATTGACAGTCGTCAAATTATCAAGCACTGAATACTTACTTCTGTATGAAGTTGATAATGCAGTTTCTACATTCGATGATATTAGATGGTTGGAGGCAATCGGCAGGAAGCCACACCTGACCTAGGTTTCGTGCTAGTTGGCACTCATCAGTCAGTAAGGTGTATCTGCAACCGTGAAGGAACTCACGTCTCTTCTGAGATTCGAACCGGTGCTGCAGTCAGAGATGTTACCATTGAGCTACTACCTCCAACCACATCTAATATTAACAATCCAAAATTCACAGTGATAGCGAGGTACCTATAATGGTGGCCACATTGCAAACCTGACCGATAAAATTCAGTCTGCACCAAACAAAGAACTAGACACATTACACTAGTCACTGACTAGTGTCCAATCAAAGTTTCTACATTCATAAAGTAACGAACTATAAGTTCTGTAAATTAGCACACGTTTTGCAGAAAATACGATTTATTAAAAGCAAAGGGCGATGACTAACTGTAGGGGGGAAATCAACTAGGAAAAAATTGTGTATTGATAGTGTAACCCATGAATGAAAGCTCCAATAGATCATCTCAATTGTCAGGTTTCTAAAGCTCATAATATTACCTAATGACAGAAATTTTTCACCATGGAAATGTGAATTATTACAAGTTTGATCTTGACTTTATGATGAATTGTGCTTGAAATATAACCATGGGTTTGTCAAGAGGTTACTGTAAAAAAAGGTTTAAGTAAAATGCATTGAATAATATTGAAGAACATATCTGTTGGGTCAGACGGTAACACATATTATGAGTCGGGTTTTATCGCGTTACCATCTCTAAAGATCAGATATTTGATCCGAAAGTAGATTAAGGATCATTTCTTTTTTCCTTTTTTTCATTCCTTTGCGTTCAGAGTGGAACATAGGAAGTTTCAAGCAGCTGTGTTATTGTTACCGGGTGGAGTTGCTAGCCTCACATGAAAGTTTATCTCTTTACCAGAGTGGTGAAAGAGTTTTAGGAGTCAGCCGGCTGGGTATCGAACCGCGAATCACATGCATAGTTGACGAACAGTCTACCAGTACATGTTAACCAGTCAAAACATAGTTTTTCTGCATCTGAAACCACTAATTTATTGATTGTGGGAAGTAACCATATAAATAGCTATAATTTCTATTAAGTTTGCCTATCTGTATGAAGAAATAAATGTTTTCTTTTCAGGGCGGGAAGTAGTAGCCGAGTAATCAGTCGTGTATTGTTGTGCGTTTGTGTTGAGGTGACAGTGGAACAAACCAAAAAAATCCAGTATCGTCATCCGCTTTACAACAATATCAAACTAACCAAAACTCAAATTTAAGGAGACGTGTCTAATAAGTCTTATCTTATAGACAATTATTCGATTTTTAGAAAATCAAAATATTTTTGAAGATGTAGTAGTGATTATTGACTAATTATGAAAACAAATTTTCGATAAAGAAAGGAAGACGAAATTTGCAGTATAAAATGATATCATTCTATTTCACAGGTTCTCATCAGCTGCGGACTACCTGAATTTACAATGTTTATCCGATTTTCTGAACATATTCCAAGAAACCTGTGCCTGAAAGGAAGCAAATATTCTCAGAGTGCAATTACCAGACATATTGTTGATACCAGACATCTCGTACAGATTTCTAAGTCCTTCAAAATATTAAATAGACAAAGGACACCAAATTTACTACGATTTTCCCAAGCGATAGCAATCACATGATTCAAACCAGACTTATGCATACAGAAAGAGAGTGTGATTAACCTCTCACTGCCTTGGTAACTGAATTTTGATTTTGATTACATTCATTAGTCATCTATTTCAGTGATCTCAACTCACTGAACAAATCTCAATCTTATAAACTGCAACCGCTTTTGTTTTTTGAGTTGCTATCACTGTTCTCTCAATTAATTTTCTGTTTCCTGTCTTACTCCTCACCCCTCTTTTCGACTTTAAAAGCGTATAAGTTGGTGATGAAATCTTAAACTAAAAGTTGTAATGCTTTCATTTTGGATGCGTCAGTTTTATAGTATCTCTTCTCTACTACCACTGAAACATTAAAGTATGTTATTATCATCTATATAACCAGTGTAATTTCAGGTAGTCTGCATCTGATGAGAAGCTGTGAAATAGAATGATATTATTTTATATTGCAAATTTCGTCTTCCTTTCTTTAACGAAATTTATCAAGGGAACCAAATGTATGAAGTTTTTGAAAATAATTTTTCATCGCGAATTTCAAGTGAATCTCAACAGGATGTATACATGAAGTGAGTATTATATGAATCTTCCAGAAGCAGAAAGTCATTTTTACAAGTCAATGACAGAAGTGATGAATTAAACTTTGCTAGACATCACTTATCTAAGAAGCATCGTTTCAACCTCAGGCGAATGATACGTATGAAGATGTCAAAGCCAGACAGAATCAGAAAGGCAAGATACGCCTTCATCAACCTGAAACCAGTTTGGAAATCCTCTGAACTAACTTAGCATAAAGAACAAGATTCGGATTTTCAACACTGATTTCAAGTCAGTTCTTCCGTATGGACCAGAAACTTGCACCACACATCAAGAAGGGGATTTCCAACACATTAGTGCAGACTTTTATTTACAGCTGCCATCGCTAGATCTATACTGAAGATCAAATGGTCAGAAAGAAATGGCGACAGGAAACTATGGCAACAAACCAACCAATGGTCGGTTGCTCAACAAATATGCAGAAGAAAATGGAAATAGATAGGGCACATGATAAGGAGACCGTTGAATGACATCGAATGCCAAGCCCTCGAGTGGGTCGTCGGTGCTAGGGTAACATGGAGGAGATCGTGTGGCGACGAGGAGATTAGAGATTATAGGAAATCGTGGGCCAGCAGACAATAAAAGAAAGTAGAGATGTGTTGTTGAAGCCCTATGTTTCACTTAGAACCTAAGGGAATAATAATATTATTAAAGAAATCATCTGAAAATCCAACAGTATCTTTGAAACGGATGTTCAGTCCAAGCACAAATGACTCAATCAATCCACTTACTTATTAAGTGATTTATGATTAGCTTTACTATTGGATTCAAAACATATGACAGGTAAGAATTAAGAAGAGTATTTAACTCAGTCAATACTCAACACTATTGATAAGACCTCTATTCAATTATAATAAATAAATGCAATGCCATACAAAAATTGCTGTGCAATCTATGACAGACTTACCTAGACATTCAGTTTGTAGGCCTAAAAGGTTATAAGTTGCAGTCAATGCAGCAGCTTTTGTATAACTGTTTTGAGAACGCTAAAATAAAATTTTAAAAAATAAAAAAATACATTAGGTAATATGGAAAAATCTTATAAAAACTTCTTAACATACCTAGTGAAAATATGCACAAAAAACAGATAACAACATTATGAATAAGCACACTAAGCATGAGTTTAGACTGCATTTTACGCCCGAATTTGAATTTAAGATCAGAGCTGTCTAAAATAATATTAAGGACTGAATTGAGTTATTATTGTGTTCCTATCCGAATCATTACTGTCATAAAGAATAAAGGTGTCATCCGTATGGCGGTATTAAAATGAGAATTTTCTGAGAAGGTTGTTCAGAGGTCTATTTTCCAGTTTACTTTGAAAGAAACCTGCCAGAATGGGACCCATCGCCGCCCCGTCCACCCACATAAACCTTGCCTAACTTACCAGTTGTTAGTAAGAAAAGATAGAGGCGGAGGAGGACTACATGTGAGGCTAGTAACCAGACGCCGTGAAAAAAAGCAACAACTATCACCACTGATGCTTCAAACCTTTTTGCCCCATGTTCCCACTCCAAACCGAAAGGAATGAAAAGAAATAATAATAGCAATAATAATGCTGAGTGTACATGAATGAAGCAAATATTTCCAGCAATTATTTTCTGTATTATATAATTAACAACTAGAAGTAAGCGCTAATTTTTCAGTCAGACGAAAGACACATGTGTATAAAATATATACGAATGTCAGATGAAAACGATGAGGACAGCTTGATGATTAAATCAGTAAATCATTAAAAAATAAATAAAATAAAGATCAACTAAATATGATAACGATGACGTAAACAGACTGAGACATCGCAATCATTTATTTATATACAACCAATGAATTACAACAGACAAAAAAAATAATTTTTCATATCCATCAAGAGATAACTGTTGTCTGTATATATGTGTATATAAATAAAAGAACACTTATTGCTGAATGTGTGCGTTGGTGGTACACAGGTAGAATTCTCGCCAGCCATTCATGTGGCCCGGGGTTCGATCCCCGGCCAACGCACTCCTAGACCTAGGAGTGACAATAGCAATCCCATCCCGTAAAAAATAAAACCAGTGCTACCGAAACTTCAAAGCTCTGACATGAAGCCCTATGTCCTACTGGGAAGGCAAAGGGATATAACAACAATATAGCTGAATGTGATTGTCCGTTTTTGGAATACACAATTCGAAATAAAATATCACTATGCTTTCGTTTAGAAATTTCACAGGATGATATTAAAGCCTTACACAGAACATTTAATCTCATTGTCATGGCGTTGTATGTAGAGTGCACATTATGATCCGAATACTTTGGCTTTTTTCAAAAGACACCGTGGAGGAATTCAATTTTGGATTGTGTGTATTACAAATAACTTAATGTATCCTGCACCTGATAAATAGCCGACCAGAATTCGGGGAGGGTTAGAACTGACTATAATTCTGCACAATTAACCAATCCATCTAGATAGGAAGCACTACTGAGTAGTGTGAGCGCTTTCCAAATAGAAAATAGTACTAATCCTAGATGGTTTCAAAATGATTATCCCTATTACATAATCAGTTGGTGGGAATTCAATACATCCATCAGAGTCTATAATACTCTCCAGGGGAAACTTAACCTACAGCAGGTGACAGTATGTTACCTGTTTTCTTTCTGATTTTGAATTCACACATCATGATGACATATTAGAACTGTGATACTCAGTTCAAAACAGCTTCAGCTGAACTGAAGACAGCAAACCGTGCAACCCAAGTGATAAAGAATTTTAGATAAAAAAGGCATCTACGTAAAAGTTCAGTAAACACTATCTTTATTATAGCGCACAATATCGCTACTTGATGCTCGTGTTCACGACACTATCTTCTGATGGGATTTGAACTAACATTTGAGAAAAAATAGAAAACTCTATACAGATGTTTCCTAATTCACTTTTATATTTCAAGATTTCATCATGAACTGACAGCGGTTAGAGAACCATTGAAAAACCAGGAAGTACTGGACAACTGTCTCGTCAGCATAGTTCAGGAATCATCGGCAGTAGGCACCCACCACGGGGTTCGAACCCAGAGCCTTCCGGTTACTAGGCAAGCTCGTAGACCATCAGACCACTCTTTTATATTTTAGTCTTCAATAACAAATTGTGCCACTCATTGTTAGTAAGAACCGGAACAGGCTGGATTCAGGAGAAACAAGTCATGCATTAATCAGATCGCCACATTATGGATCATCATTGAACAAAGCTTGGAATGGCAGTCACCTCTCTATCTCAACTTCATCGACTTTGAAAAGGCCTTCGATATCGTCGATCGAGAGGTGATTTGGAAACTACTTCGCTACTATGGGGTGCCACCGACAATTATACATCTCATCCAACAGATGTACGACTATGCTGCATGCCAAGTAGTCCACAACGGGAAGCTTACGGAATACTTCGAAGTGAGGTCAGGAGTAAGACAAGGCTGCCTACTACCGCCAATGATTTTCTTGATTGCAGTAGACTGGATAATGCGACAAACAGCGGGCAATGAGGAAACAGGCATAAAATGGACTCACACAAAAAACTTGGAGGATCTGGACTTCATCGATGATATATGTCTGAATTTCAACAAACTGGAAAATATGCAAGCGAAAAGCAACAAGTTGGCAGAAGAAGCATCCAGCGAAGATAGGACTTCAGGTGAACATAGAGAAAACAGAGGTGATGAAGATTCCTGGGCAGGAACAACAACAAACAACGATTAGCATAAATGGGAGGAACCTGAAAGAAACAACCTCCTTCACCTACCTACCTGGGAAGCATCGTTTCAACTACAGGCGCACGGAACTGACGAGGATATCAAAGTAAGAATCGGAAAAGCAAGACAAGCTTTCACTACTCTCAAGTCTATGTGGAGGTCAACAGCACTACTCAGCATCAAAAATAAGATCCGGATTTTCAACTCCAATGTGAAGTCAGTGCCACTATACGGATCAGAGACTTGCACTGCGCGTCATAAAGAGCATCTCAAGCAAAATACAGACCTTCATTAACAGTTGTCTTCGCTCAGTGCTCAAGATCAGCAACAGAGATCTCTGGCAATGAGCGAACCAACCAGGAACCGATTGTGAAACAAATAGGCAGAAAGAAATGGAGATGGATTAGCCATACTCTGAGGAAACCATCAAGTGACATCACTAGACACGCCATCGCTCGAGTGGAACCCGACCGAAAGGGAAGCGGCGAGTTGGTCGTCAGTGTGAGGGTGACTTGGAGGAGGTCATGTGAACAGGAGATGAAAACGTGTGGGCAGACATGGAGCCAGATGAAGACTCTAGCAGAGAACCGAACGCAATGTAGACGCACGGCTAAAGCCCTATGTTCCTCTAGGAATTAAAGGAAACAATGATAATAACAATAATTGTTAGTAAGTTACTCAGGTGACAGCTTTACATAATAATGACATTTCCAAATTCTTTAGATGAAGTAATAATATTTTGCAAGTTACATCATAATGATGAATCATAATACTGTGGGAAAATGAAATATTGCTCGCGCTTTACCATTCGGAGTTATATTTCAGTTTTTGAAGAGATGTGAACTACACATAGTAAAGAATTCTGTAGTGAATGAACTATAAAAGTATTAGTATGTTATCACTTGATGATAAGAACAATCATAAATACGTTCTCCAACACACGTCATTTTCACGTCATTATGGTGCCTTGCAATTTATAAGCAGTTTTAATATACCATGTGACTACTTGTAACGTGTATATTAGCGCATGTGACATAAATGATGATAGCGAACAAAGCGGAGTACAAATAACTGAAAAATTTGCTTACGTTAGGAAATACGTAATAACTCATAATTAAACGACTATGATCCATGGTTTTCGATATACCGTTAAGCTGGTCATAGGTCATATACGCTGATATTACAGTGATCTAAGTCTTTGACTTATTAGTGAATACACTTATAACGTGCTAGATACAGTTAAGTATTGTTGCTTTTGAATATAGAGATTTTAAAAAAAGTTGGTAAACAGAATATGCGCCATATACTACTGATTGATTTATGTGAGTAGTCAGATGCTACTCACACCAATTCATAATATTAGCCAGCCAGATCAAAGTGATCTAAACGCTGGAGAGTCAGTTCGCTTGACTGGGGGGGGGGGCAAGCTCATCATCAATGTACCCGGTTTTGACTCAGCAGCTCAGAGAGACGAATCACTTCAAACCAAGCGGGAAAGATGCATGAAAATAAATTAAAGAAAAGTAATACTATAAAGCGAACGTTTACAAGGGAAACTACTTTTGGCTCATTCGATAAAATCTATGGAAAACGAAGTTGCTAAGAAACTATAAATCATCATTTTCCAGTCCTCTATATTTAAAATACACACTTCTATTCTTCGTAAACAATTCATTATTATCACTCTTGAATGTTTCTTTTATACATCTCTCAATAGATTTTCTTCTCTCGCCTTCTATCCACTAGAGTCAAGTGGACACTTAATCACCTTGCTTCTCAACTAATAATACTTTTTCACTTTTGCTTCCATTGTGTATTTGACTATTGAGTATTTTCATTGTATTTTGACAAAACACTTTTGAGTAGTAGTATCAATTCTAATGTGGTGGGTGCTACTTATGAAATTTATCAGTAGTATATAAAAATTGGCATAAAAATATCAAATATCAGGGAGATACATTTGATGTCAAAGAAGGCAAATGATACAGCCTTGTGGAGATACATGGGAGACGTGAAAGCAATACAAAGAGATACAATATGAAGGTGAGAAGTAGCACAACACGGAAGATCATCCGTGCAGATGGTGCGTTGAAGATAAGGTGTACATAATTTGGCTATTCAAAGATACCAGATTCCAAATAAACATTCCCTTTACCAAGTCTTTCATCTTCTACCATTTCAATATGTCACACTTTCCAATTACCCGATAACAGACTGTTATACGTTTTCAGTGAATATAAATACGTTTGTACAGACATTGAAGGTAAACACAAATAATTTCATAACAGGGAAATTACCATGAACAATGTAAGCTTTTCAACTAAATCTCCATTACGATGAACTTCACAGCGTGCAGTTCGACCAGTAGCAATATGAGCCACCACAAGTACAGCCTAAAATATTAAATGGAACAAGAAAAAATAAATAAAAGACAACTCTAAAATGAACTGAAGTAAAGAATCGAATTTAGTTTGACAACAAAGTCATTCCAGTTAGAAAAATGATGTCAGCTTGAAAATTGACAAAAAAACAGTACACTTCCACAAGGATCACTGCAGTGAATGTCAACGTTTTCTTTGTAACTGACTTCATACAACTAACTGCATTCATCATTTAACAATAAATCAGAGTGATAAAAAACATTTAATATAACATTAGAACTAGTGAGTAGTACAATCGTGTAAGGCAAGTATCGTATTTACCAACTATGTATCATTTTATTTCGAAATTGGTCACGAACTGACTTAAGTTTAGAGAGTTACTGAAAACCAGGAAGTAATAGACAGTTGCCTCTTCCTTTTTTATGACTCTTTAGCAGTAAACATCCATGACTCCACTAGGGATCGAACCTAGGACCTTTAGGTTACAAGGTGAGCTCATATACCATTAAGTCACTGGGACATACTTCAATGACCCATCAATTCTAAGTTCTGCCAATTCGTCCTATATAACCCCGCCGCCGCAAACCAGTGGTGTCATCGGAAGGTATTTGTCCTCGCATTCAACATGATGAGCCATGCTGGTTATGATTTTCAAATAGAACTCTAGGCAACTTCATTTTGTAGTCATTGAACAAATAAACACTGGATTAATTTCCAAGTGTTGGTTTGTAGGGATTTAATTGGTTTCAAGGTTGGATCACGGACTAACTTCTTTAGTTGTTTTTATTGTTTGTTTGGCTCTAATGGAAGTGTGCATGTCTAAAACAGAAAATTATAGTAACGAGTAACAGTTCTACCTTTTATGACGAAAAAGTATTGAAAATGATACTGTTGCATTTGACAACTACTGTGTCACCAATTGAATAAAAGGCTTACAAAAACAACTGACTATTTCACTTAAACTAATAGAATATAATAATACATTGTTACATCATAGATATTATTTCACAATAATGTATGTTTTATTACATTCACCGTGAAGAAAATAAAAAAAAAACAGACGAACATCAATACGCTTTTAATCCTTATGATTCTTTATAACCAACTATAGCGAAAATATGGTATGTACATAATACTGATATCTGTACAATTTTAAGAATTAGATTCTGAGGATTCTATTTGTTTAAGGTTAGACTACGCATTGATATCAGTTAGAGAACCACTGAAAACCAGCGCTGGAGTACTGGACAGCTGTCTCATCCGCCTAGTTTGGGACTCATTGGCAGTACGCACCCGACACAGGCAGTTCGAACCCACGACCTTCCGGTTACAAGGCAAGGTCACATACCATTCAGTCACTGGGACCCGATTCAACGACCAGTACATGAATTCTAACTTTTACCGATTTGTGATTTTAGCACGAACACCAACCAATGTCATCGGCAGGAACTCCATCCTCATCCCATTGGTCGCGATTTCTCATTTGAATTAGTTTTTAGGGACTGTATTTGTTTCAGGTTAACCCATGGATTGATGTCAATTAGAGAACCATTGAGAACCAGGTGGCACTGGACAGCAGTTTCGTCCTAGTTCGAGACTCATCGGCAGTATATGTTAATTAAATGTATACTTAGTGTATCATAGATGTTTTTAGTTAATTTCAATCATTTTCTATTTTAAAACATGATGTGAAATCCATAACATGAACAATAGGGTCTATGTTGGTAACATAATTCTTATCTTTGATTCGGCCACTAGGTAGTAATCAGTGTCATGCAAACTGGATTCTACCAGTCCAGTTTGCAATGTCGTCACAGAAAGTTAGGAGACTAGCCATCATAGCGTACTTTGAATTGATATCGCGTGAATGGAGGTAATCGGTAGGAATCTCTGAACCTAGATTTCATGTTTGCTGGCACTCGTCGAGCAAGGTATATCTGCCAACCCGGGTATTCTCTGAGATTTGAACGCGTATCACTAAGTGTTGCAGTTAGAGATGTTACCGCCGGGCTATTCTGACTCGTGACTGAAGTCCTGTAATAGATACTTTAACTGGTCAGTAGATAGTAGCCAACACCATGCATTAATCCTTGGCTTGTTGCAGACTGCATTCTGTCATTCAAGCTATTCTATGATATTACACTGCGATTTAGAAGTTAACCATAACCATATAGTATTGCAAGGATACAATACATATGTCTAAAGAATATACGATTGGTAGGCTCAAGAAAGATGGGGTTACTGAATTTCTAGCCTACTTTAATGAAGTGCATCATCATCAAAGGAAACAAAATGCTTAAATAAAAAACCCTGCAGGTTTGATCACGTGCTGTCGTCAGTTAGAGGACTATTCGAAAACCTGGGAGTACTGGACATCTGCTTCATTCTAGGACCTTCCGGTTTCGAGGTGGGCTCATAGACGAATGGTTCATGAATTTCAACTTCTGCCAATTCGTGATATATATTTAGCGCAACTGCCAGCCAGTGTCAAACCTCCAAATAAATTTTAGCAGTAATTAAACATATTATTTATGTGTTTAATACACAGAGTAGAACAAACTTAAACTAACATCAAGAATGAACATTATATAAGCAACAGACATAGTGGAAGCCTCGCAGAGCCTATTAACTATAAACCTGACTTCTTTAAATGCTATGGTACTTTCGAAAGAGAGGTAGACTCTCTTCTCACTTCACTTTCATTCATCCAAGTAAGTCTAATCTCCTTCTAGGAAGGTGTTTCAAAAAGAACGAATGGGAAAAGTGAGTGTTGAACATGTTTTCGGATTGGCAGCGTCTAATGCTTCAAAACTTTCATATAGAAAAAAGTGGGATTTGAAAGTTACAGCAGTTCTGTTTGCTTTTTTTGTAGGCACAACCAGAAGACATCTCTCAGACGACAAAAAACTATGAAAACGCTATGATCTAGATTACAAATCATTCATTTAAGCCACTACCTAACAGTCAAGACTTTTTCTGAGACTTTGTACTTAATTATTCATTTTAGGTCTTATCGTTACACTTACAGCAAATCTATTGTTCTGTTCTTATTGATTGTTTGTGGTCTTATGGTTTTTATTTCACCTATGTATACTCCCCATTTTAGTAAATCTTGTTATCGCATTAAACCAACCAAAACGGTTATTTTAACAAGCTTTAGACCGATGAAACTTTCAGCTTACGTATTCTAAAAATACACTATGCTTAGTGTCCTCAGCTTTGCAAAAACTTTTAAGATGGAAAACTATAGCAAGGACTTTGGGAAGCTTGACCATTGTGGTATGTGAAATGTTGAACGGATCTCCTCACAATATCGCAGTGTAGTGTGCTTTTTGGGTGTCCATCCGTACATCTCAAAGAATAGTTTACTTTCTCGTCGGATACAAAAATTAAAATTAAAAAAAAAACAGTATCAAACGTGATAAACTAACTTGCTCTTTAACAGGTTGAGGATAATTCGACTCCAAGACAGCAACTATAAACTGAATGATATTCCACCAATGCTCGTTAACCACAGTATCAATAACCTGAGAAGGTAAAAGAATAATCGTTGGTTGAACTTTTTAGATAGACATTAAACAGCGCGTTAACTATTCAAATTACAAAGTTCCAATACTAAGTTATTCGATCAGCAATCGCTAGTAAGGCATTGTCTATATATGTCTATGCGTTTCAACATAGAACTTTGCATAGAAACGCACAGAAATGATCATAGATGTCTACGATCTCTTTCTCACGTTAGGTGGCATAATAAGGTAAGTAATGTTGACGTTAGGCGTAGAATGTTGGGCAAAGAGGGAAAATCAATCGAAGAGGCTATAAAGTTACATAGATTGAGATGGCTAGGTCACGTGCTGCGCATACCTAACCATCGCCTCCCACGACGGGCATTACTAGCTGATATAGGTGCAGGTTGGAAAACAGTAAGTGGTGGCCAAACAAAAACATGGCATCAATCCATGAAATGCTTGACAGCTAAACTGAGTCAGGTAGGGAGATGCAGACTTCCGGGTTGGGGCCCTCGGGACTCACTCTAAGAATCAATGGCTAGAGACAATGGGCGACATGGCTGAAAATCGTTGTCAATGGCTTACGCAGATGTATTCAGTCTCTGTAATTTTTCATATTCCTTTCTACCATTACTCATTCTATTTCACTCTTATACTTGTCAAAACTCTATTGATTCTCTTCACTCATCTTCTTGTCTACCTTTGTGTGCTATTTGGAACGTGGCAACTCAAAATGCTACACTTCGGTGCCAAGTTCTATGTTGAATCCAGCCAGCCAGCCACAGAAATGCAGCAGTTCAAGTTGCCACACTCTATGTAGCGTACACAGGTAGAAAAAAGAAAGAAAAAAGATATTCGAAAGAACACTATTATAGTAAGCAGAAATATTCAGACAGCCTATATCTCCTTGTGGTCGGCTCAAAATGACTGTCAAAGACTTCATGAACTAACTTAATTCTATGTCAGTTAACATTGTCCATCGAGGAAGGAGATGGCTTAGCATGGGCAACACATGTCCTAACCACCTCAATCGATTGACTTATCCTTCTTATCTAACAGTGTACGCTTAAACTCAACATTACTACGCATTCTTAGCTGTGCCAGATCGTTGATGGGGGATAGTGTGTTATACTATGGAAGAAAAGAGACTTTAGAAGGTAGATATGTTTAGTAAAATGTCTTTATAATCGGGCCAAGAGCCTAACTAGTAAGCCAAAAGATTTAAGTAGTAAAATCAAACAAATAAAGGAAATATTACTGGTGAATAACTACCCACCAGAATTTATGAAGAACCGTAGAAAAACACTAAGGTTAGCAATAAAAATGACGAAAATAATATAGAATTCAAAGCCTCTTTAGTGCTGACGTGTATATAGAAGGAACGTCAGCTGTCTTGCATAGGATTCTCAACGAGACTGGGATTACAGTGGCATTTGAGCCAACCACCCAATAGATCCAATTAGGGAAAAAATAATATATAATCTACCAAATACCATGTAATGGCTGTGAGGTCGACTACTTATGTCAAACTAGTAAATCGCGGTCAACTAGCCTATTAGAACATAGAAATTTAGCCAGACCTAGAACAATTGACTATGCCTAAATAAATAATCCATAAAAAAGCTCAGCCATTGCACTGCATTCACTTGCATGTAATCACACAACAGGCGGGTTTGGACAGGGTGAAAGTATTGAGAAATAATATACTTAGGTGGAGAAAGAGAGAAGTTAATCACTGAAGCTTCGTTTATCGACTCAACGCCTTACACATGCAATCGGAATGACGCAACGCCTATACCGGAGATATAGAAAGTGGGAACAAACAACAAAGGGAAGTTGGAGAGACAGAAGAAGAGAGAAAATATACATAAAAGACAAATTGTGAAAACGTGTGACTAAATTGATATGATTATTAGTGGTACTAATTTATGCTTGAAACGCCATCGAGTTGCCGATACTGCATCAGTGTGTGATTATTTAAATAGATTTATCTAATATGGGCGGGATTTGAAAGAGGTTACTTCGTTCACTTATCTAGGGGACATTGTCTCAACTACAGGAGACACGGACGGACGAGGATGTCAAATCGACAATCGGGAAGACGAGAAACACATTCATCAACCTGAAACCAATCTGGAGGTCTTCGTCACTCAGCCTGCATCAACAACAAAATTCGGATTTTCAATACAAACGTCAAGTCAGTCAGTTCTTGTATACGGATCAGAAACTTGGTGGGTCACGAAGAATATTTCTAACAGCCTGTTGCAGACCTTTATCAACAACTGTCTTCGCTCTCTACTGAAGATCAGATGGCCGGAAAGAATCACCAACAAGAAACTATTGGAACAAACAAAACAAGAACCAATCGCTCGACAAATATAGAGGAGAAAGTGGAGATGGATTGGACACTCACTCGCTGAGGAGGCCGCTGAGTGACATCGTGCGTCAGACCAGTGCTCGAGTGGGACCCGAAAGGGAAGTGGTGAGTGGGACGTCCAAGGGTGACATGGAGGAGATCGTGTGAAGAGGAGTTGAAACAGTATGGACTAACATGGACGTAGGTGAAAAGTACAGCAGAAGACAGAAGCAAGTGGAGACGCGTAGTTGAAGCCCTATGTTCCACTAGGAACCCAAGGGAACAAAAATAATAATAATAATAATCTAATATGGAGTTACATGCTACCACAGTGCCCAAGTTTCTACACATACATTAATAAACTGAAGAAAGTTAGAGAGAATGATATAAATCCCTTCCCTTTGATAAACTCATTCACCAATCTGTACGTCCATGGAATTACATCATATATATATATATATATGATTTACACATAACTCGTGATATCACTCTGTTTAATAGGGATACTCAGACTACTAAAGCATCTTATGGTGAATAAAAAAGTGGGGGGCTTACGCAGAATTCAGGTGGCACTACATTATTGGTGTAATCAAGGAAAACAGTTGAAACACTTATTTTTTTTATGAATTTGTTTCAAACTTTTTCTTTTATCAACATGAAACAGTAATAACATGCATGGATGAGGAAATATATTATACAACTTACATGTTCATCCCGAAAGAGATTACGTAAGAAGCTAAGCGTTTGATAAACAATTAATATATGAATTTGTGCACCATTTTTAGAAAGTTTAAATTTTGAATGAGGATTAGACAAAGGCAGTTGATGTTGATTATACTGATGTGTCGTTGTAGTACGATGATAAATTTTCGAGCGATTGAATAAATTTAAATTTGTACGATACTTTTGCCTCGACGAATGATTGTCATCACCATCATCGTTGTCGTTGTCGTTATAATTATTCTCTCCTTCTTCATTAATCTTGCTTATTTGATTGCATTTCATTTCATTGTCTTCACGTGAAACCGTAATTCCTGGTACTTGGACTCTATATATGTATACATAATCAAAACAGTAGTAATAATGGTGAAGATGAGAAACAGTGATTACAATTAATTGGTATATAATATTGATTTAATAGGAAACGCCTTCTATTGAAATACAACATTTCAATGGATTGAATGGATTCACAAAATTGACGACTTTTGTTTTTAGTGTTTATTTTACGCCCTTGAAAACATTAATTATCAATCAAGGATACTCTCTCACCTAGTGTTGAAACATCTGAGTAGCAAAACGGCATGAAGTACTCGACCTTGAACCAGCTCTCCCACGTTTAGATCACGTCGATCTGGGCAGCAAGCACTAATGGTTAACGTGAGTGGTACCCAACTACTCATATAAGTCAGTCAGTAGTATATGTAGTACCAACTATGCTACAGTAATCTTTTATTAACAAACAACATTCTTTTGACCATTTCAGTGAATCAGCAACACCCAGCGTATTTATTGTATTTTAATTTTAAGGAGAATGTGGGAGGATACTTGGTTTACCTAGGTCCTCTTATTCACAAAAATAGACCGGCTTTCATAAGACATGATATTGATTCCCTCATACCGATGCGTGCAGACAACTACAGCTACCTCTTTGATTGGAAAAATGTACAAATTATAGACAAAGGCAATACTAAAAATGCCAATGAAAATCTTAGAAGCTTGGCTCTCAGAGGGATCTGCAGTGAACAGACACAGATTGACGTAGATCGGATTTATCAATCAGTATAAAAGGAAATCACCTTGATAAAATGTCAACTTTCAGGTTAAACAATTAATCAATATCGGTACAAGTGGATTAGGGGATTGAAAATCTCCAAAAAATAACTAATTACGTTTAAAGCTGACAAAAGAGATGACTGATGAACTTGTAGGGAATCCTAAAATTTCAGTTCATATTGAAGTATGAGTTGAAAATAATATCTAGAAGGGCAATGAAAACTGCTCAACTAAATTATCGAGCCTAGAGTACACAACTACATAAATAATTATCCATTGTAAATATGACAGATTTTTTTTTTGGTGTATGAAGTATAATGAAATGATGAATGGGATTGGAAAGAAAACCTGATTTGTGACAGAAATGGAATCAACGACTTGCAAACTGAGAAATGAATAATGCAAGTAGAAAGAATGTACGTGTGAAAACACATACATAGGGAGGAGTCATCGATCTCTGCAAGTAAAGACTGGCTTCAGAGTATATTCCTAAAGGGCTTCAGAAGGAAATAGAACCCTGAGAACTCATTGATGGTGAAAAGAAACGACCTAGCTCCTCTATTGAGAAACATATTATAGAGACAGGATATAAAATTGATGTTTACACGTCTTTTAAACCTATCTATAGAGAGTATTTGGGGGCGTATCCTAAAGTTTGTGGAAGCCCTAGTTGGCAATTAGGAAGTTTAAACCACCTTTATGCGTTCAAAGACAATTCGTCATCACACTAAACCACCTTCATTGGTAAACTTTGTTTTGATACCAGTCAGAGTAGATGTTCTGTTAGCTCTCTTATTTGGTTTAGTCATTTGCATTGTTGTTTTGACCATCAATATGTCCTTTTAACTTGACCTCATTTTATTTTCTCACTACTTAACTCTTTATTATTTGCATAAATGTATTTTCCTATGACAAGTCCGTGTGTGATCAGCGGATGTCCGGCGCTCTTCACCGGGTTGACTGTCCATTGGATGACAGTCTAGGGGAGATGGCTAAACCCTGATTCCAAACCTCCAACGACTGGCGTATGAAGCTCACTGGAGCTCACCGTCAGACGTATGGACAAAGGGCTTGTTGGGTGCCCTGGATGTCTGGCCCCATTCAAAAAGGCGTATGAACCGAACTCCGGTCACCGGCTGCCAATGGATAGTGGACTCCTTACTCCATTCCTACTGCCTTGTAGGTCACACTTGGTTGTGTAAAGGCTAGAGCTGCACTCTCAAACAAAAGGCCGAGCGATTCTGGGGACATCACTCGTACCAAATTCCCATGAAACTTCATGAACTCTCAACATCAACCAAATTCCAGTACTGGTCCAACAACGTCGCCTTCAGTGGTTTGGCCATGTTCTGCGCCAACCAGATGACGATCTGGTCAAATCAGTTCTAAATCCTACGCCATTACCATCTTGGCGATGTCGCAGGGGTGGACAGCTGAAAATATGGCTTGGTACAGTCAAGGCTGATATGGAGTGCCTGGGGCTACAAACCATCTACGGACTCAGTCTGTGGAACAAGAATTGGATAACCCTGTCTCAAAACCTTGCATCAGATCGCCGCGCCTGGGCAGCGATGATTCGAGATGTTCGTGAAGCCGGCTCATCCTCCCGTAAGAGATAGCCGAAGTAAAGTGATCAGATTATTGGAAATGTGTTGCGCAAATACATCACACGATTCAGACAAATTACGTCTTCTTATTGCTTTGTCTACAAAGAATCAAGCCTGATAATACTATGCAGACAAATTGTGATTAGCACGACTTACGAACTGCGTTGTACGCTATATCCGGGTTCTTCTTCATCACTTCTATCAGTATAGTGTCTATGAAACGGAGCACTGTGGAAATTTCACTCATTTCCCTTATAAATGAGTTATTTTGAATCTCACACAATATATAGATATACGCGGAAAATAGGTTAGAACTCACTTATTCAACGAATTCATTTCAAAAGTATTATTCATCTTAGTATTTGCTTCCCATTCATCTTTTGTATAACAAGAATAATTGAATTCTAAATTCGGTATTGATGAAGCCAACTGTAACAATTCTAACCATATACCTTTGTCAACTAATTGACAGAAAAGATTCATACAAACAGTTGAATTAGCTGTATGCAGCAGATTACTCAAACCCCAAACTCCATTCAAATGTAACATGGATATAATGTCTTGCATTGAATTTGTGGAATCCGCTAGGGAGATTGAAGCTGACTTAGATTTTGTTATTGAAGGATGCGTTGAATTGGCATAACTAGCGTTATTCTTGTTATTTTTGCTAGTGGTACTTGTATTAAAACCTGTAACAGAGGTGCTGGCTGATTCATTGATCGATACAACTCTAGGCAATGAAGATGTTGATGATGATGACGATGGTAAGGTGGTATCATCACGATGTTGAGCTGGTGGTATATTTCCAATTGTCAGTAAACGAATAAATACGTTGGTGAATTCAGTAACTAAAGGCTAAGGATAAATTAATAAAATAAAATAAAATAACAGTATAAGAAAACTGGCAGTCCTTTATCGCTGTGTTGTATAATAAGAGGTAGACAGTTTCCGACACACACACACACAAGTAACAAAACTACTTTCACCTTATTACATTAAAAGGAGATGTGAACCGTGAAATCATAGTAATTTGAATAAACGAAATTATATTTACAATGGAATTGCAAATTGATTTTGGCATTAATTGGTTTATAAACACTATAGGGTGTTCCTAATGAAAAGCAAAGCTAATAAATTCGCACAAGGATAAAACTTGGGCACTGTCGTAGAGTATAATTCCATTGTAGATAAAATTTATTTTGATAAAGTCACACAGTGCTATACACTAACACTTACTGATGACGTTACGAGCACAATTTATTGCTGCTCATAATCATATTAAGGTACTCATACAACTCAGAGACAAGCTCTGTAGGCTACAGGACCCTTTCGACGCCATTAAACAGAAAAATATAATCAACAAAATACCTTGCAATGACTGTGAGTTAAGTCAACTAGATAGGTCAAACACTTAGATAAGGGAGTAGTGAGATTATCAGAACATAAGAGTTTAGCTAAGGTTAGAATGATTGACCCAATGAAGATAAGTAATTTAGAAAAAAACTCAGCAATCGCACGGCATGCATTAACACACAAACACACAATAGGGTGGGACAGGGTCAAAATTCTAAAGAGTAATATAAATAGGTGGAGAGAGAGATTGATTACTGAATCCTAACTGGTTCATCCAGTCTACGGCCAACACATGCAATAGAAGTGACGCAACGCAAATACCAGAGATATGGAAGATATTATTACCAGTCAAATCATAGGACAATAAATAATGTTAAATTTTTCCTTCAATTCACATTATGACATTCTAACAAGTTATTTATTTTACTGACAAAACATCTTGCTTCCTATCTGGTATTACCCAACCCTTACTCCTACAATTCGTTAATTCTTGCATCCTGCCTATTATTCTCTATTGTTCCCCCTTAGTTTTTCCTGGGCTACTGAAGAAAGACTATAACATATTACGCAGGATGTTAAATGTTGTCAGCAGGGTAAGCAACGTGCCACTTAACCAGCTTGTTAATAATATTCTGGTTGACAGGAACATGGACTCATGTGAGAAATGGGTCAAGTCCATTTTATCTAACTCACACCACCCTCTTCACTCACAACTTTCCCCTTGCATCTCATCAGGTAAAACCAGAAGCCAATATAGAAAACTATATGCTCGCACCAGCAAGTACAAAAACTCAACCATACCCTACTTAGCTCGTGTTCTGCGTGATAAAGAAAGCATTAGGCGTGACACCTATAATTCATTATATAGTCAGTAGTACAACTGGATCTCGTCTTTCCAACCCACATCATCAATAGGTACAACATTTTCTTTCTTTTCCTTTTCTCTCTCTTCTTTTTCCGTTATGTGCTGCTTTGTCTCTTTCTCTCGCTTACGCCTGTTAATAAGACAGCTCCCACTTTTCTAACACCTTCAAACACTGTTTCAGCTTTACCTTTGCTACTGACATGCCAATGTATTGTTGTAATAATGAACTGTGGTTTCCTCAATCTATGTAGAATTCTATTTATTGATAATGTACTAACTGGATGCAATACTGTAGTAAAAATGCTGAGAATTCCATTCTGTATCACAAGTACTGTTTTGGAATAAAGCAAATTATTATTATTGACTGACAAGAGTCGTCTTATTTCCCATAGTATTAGATTTTATTGAAAACATTACTATTATTTCCGAATGCACTTTATCCTCCTTTCTGTTTTACGCATGTCTTATATTAATTTTGTTCATATGTCTAGTAATTTTCTATTCATGTATACAAATGAAGTCAGAAAGTTGTGTGAGGCGTACTTTGATACGCTTATGAGCAAAAATAAATTGTGCTCGAAACGTCATCAGTAAGTAGTGCTTACTGTATAACACTGTGTCAAAATAAAAATTTTATGCATAACAGAAGTAAAAGATTCGTATTAAATAAATTGTTTTTCACAAGTCGGGGCGGCGCTAAAGCGTCGAAAACAAAATTATGATTTACACAGGGGAAAAAAAGACACATTGTACTGTGTGGGCATGTAATGAGTAATAATCAGATTAGAAAAGTCGTCTACTTACTTCTTTTAAAGGACACATTGGAAGTACTTGATTTACTAAGGTTGATGAAGCAGCTTCAACCAATTTTGCGCTTAAATAAGATCCTTCAGTAATATTAGGCAAGTTGTCATTGATTAGCTGTATTTTTATGACATAGAAACAAAAAGTAATAATAATAATAATAAGGAATAATTCTATTTTTAATTTTAATAATAACGGCCAGAGCAATTATTTATTGATTGAATATGAAGTCAAATTAAAAATATATTTCTAACGTCTGACATTTTCACACTTATCAATTTCCAGAATAAAAAAGATAACTAACTCTACAGCACAAACAGCAATCACATGACCCAATATCCTTAGTTCTAATGTTTCAACACTCGACTGGACAAAATGCCTCACATAAAAATAAGCACTATTGTCAAAATCATAGCTACTGTAAATTCGAACCTAGCGCCAAGTTTTTAAGAAAAGTGGCAAACACATTACGACTTCGAAGTTATTTGTTTTCTACATCTGTTCAGTCGCATGCATACTGAAACATAGATTAATTAATGCATAGCAAAAGTCTACTCAGATATTTCACATGACAGGTCATCAGAGATTTTCACAGCCATCAGCTGGTATCGCAATGTCTTTTTAAGGATTCAATCGAGCAGGAATCTTTCCCGCTCTTCACCTTAGTCCCATCTATACACCAGTAAGTCAACAAGAACTAACCGAAGAACCTCCTAACATCCATTATGTGAAACGCCCACGATTAAGGGAATAACTGTAATAGAGTCATCTATGTGTATAACATAAATCTAAAGCTCGATATGCTGAAGAATCATCAAGTGAAACTTGTTGTGTAATTTAGCATAAATTTCAGACATTCAAAACCTCGATATGAAGTTGGCAGTATTTTATCGGGTATTTCTCGATCATGTAAGTCATCTAATTATTTACCTATCATAATCAAAATCACCTTCAACACGCATTTTAATCTGATAGTCTCAAAATTATCAACAATAATCAAATGAATAAACGCTAAAAAGTACAACAAATTAACTGATGTATTACTAACTTTCAATATATACTGTCCAATAGTTTGATTTCGGAAAAATGTATGATGTAAGCTGAACGATCGAGATAAAACATGCAATAAGACAACCACAGAATACTGTTGAATACAAAAAGGAATAGAAGTTAAAAGAAATGGGTTAGTTGAAAAAAATAACATATCAGATGTAAATGACAGGAAAACTGTTTCAATGATGATAACAATAATTCGAGGAGTTTTAAGTTGGCGTAAGTCTGTGTGTAATGATTAGTAACAAGGCAGTAAACAATGTTATATTGTTGACTGTGTTCTAATAGATACATGTGTGATATTATGGGTGGCAATCTAGGAGACTCGGTATCGCAGTGCATTTTGAATTACTATGTGCTTAGAATGGGAGGGGGGGAGGAATCGCAAGGAATCTCTGAACTTAGATTTCGTGCTTACTGGTACTAGAAAGTGAAGTATATTTACAACCTGGTTACAGCACATTCATGTCGAAGAGACATCAGTTCCTCTGACAGAGAAGGTATACCCTGATGATGAGAGCTAATAAGCAGGAAACCTAAGTTCAGGGGTTCCTGCCGATTGCTGCTTCCCATGTTCTTTCAGTTCAAATAATCTTTTCAGTAACTGTCATCCGTATAACAAAAGTAGTGTAAATATATAGAGTTGGCTTTTGTTCGTGCACACATTTATTATAAAATAGAACATACATCCAAGTATTGGTTTGTAGGGATTTGGTTGATTGGTTACAGAACCATTGGAAAACCTGGGAGTACTGGACAGATCATATGAATATAATAGCACTTGAACTAATGCAGTTATTTTTTGGAAAGTTATCCGTTAACAAGAGATGAGCATTTAAACCTGATAAAAAACATCTCATTTGTTAACCTATTAATATAAACTACCAATTAACAACTACTTGTACTCCTATACAGGTGGCAGTTAGTAAACCTCAGTAGGTAGAGCCGGGCCCCACCTCTTTACCTTGTGGTTGTAAGTCGAGCACCTAGACCAATAAGACAAAGTTCTAGAAAATGTAGGACAAAGTGGTGAAGACACAACATTTACGTGTCTGCATTATTATAGCTGATTTTAATACCATATATGATATCCTGGTGACCTCAGATCTGACTGTACACTGGTGCGAACAATTTTTAGGACAATGATGAAAGCTCATTGAATATCGTTTTTTTGTAATTCAATGAATTCATGATATAGAAATAAGGGAGGGGACTTGTAACTCAGGTGGATGATTTTGGTGTAGGCGTTTTGTCTGAGCTGGATGGTTTATAGTTGCGTAACAGTGTAACGGTAGAAGACGAAGACTTAGTGAAGGCAGGTTTCTTTGCAATTTGGTATCTCTCTATAGCCAAATTATGAACGCCTTATCTTCAAACCACCATTTGCACGGATCTTCTGTGTTGTGCTACTTTATGTTCTTTTCACGTCTCCCATGTATCTCCACAACTCTGCATCATTTGCCTTCTCTGACATCATATGTATCTCCCTGATATTTGATATTTTTATGCCAATGAACATTTCTTTATATACTACTGATAAGTCTTATCAGTAGCACACTCAACAGCTGTCATTCTCTCACTAGACAACATCTCCAATACATACTTCAGACAACGCAGCTACACCTGAATTTAAGATAATTACCACTATTATTGTTAAATGCCTAGTCAGTCAAGTAACAAAAAATAATTTTATTAACAAAACAGTTACAATCAAAAAAATAAAATAAAATCTGTTACACGGATGAATTACACATACCTGAAATTTCAGAACAAGATTCTCATGTTCAGCACCTAGTGACTTTAAACGTATTGCAAAATCAATCAACTTGGTGCACATTGTCAATTCACCGATCTAAAAATTGAATGAATACAAATCACATTATAGAGTAAGCTAACCACCACCACCACCGCCATAGAGTATTAAGTAGTATTACGTAAAAACAAAAAAATGAGACTAGAAATTTACCTTAATATTGAGATGAAATGAAAAGAAAGGAAAAAAAAGATGCTATAGGAGATTAGTCACAAGTTTAATAAACTTATGTTTATGAATCTATAGGCTCAGAGTTAATCTCCCTACCTAATCATCAGATAGGCTTGAGAGAGAGTTAGTTAAATCACCTTCTTACTGGACAAGCAAAACATGTCTTTCTTGAATTAATTAATACACAGGACAACTTTCGAATGAAGATTATTCTTTATTAAAAAGAATAAATAATAATAATAATTTAGATAAAGCTATAAGGAGACGTAATTTGCCTGAATCGTGTAATGTATTTATAGGAAACCTACCTGGACAAGACAGTATCTTAATTACCACAGTTTTTGCCCTGTTCGGTACAAAAGAGCCTTAGTAAGGTACCTCTTCAGTAGAATCCAACGAATATGCACTGAAGACACACTTGATGTGGAAGAAAGAAAGTTGACACAAACTCTGGTTGATAACAATTATCCAGGCAAGTTAATCAGGAGATATAAAGTAGTCAGAACATCAAGACCCACTCTCCAACTCGCCCCTAAGAAAGACGTGTACATCAAGCTACCCTATATGGGGCATCAAAGCAGCTTGATAACTAGACAAAGACTGAACGCTGCTGTCAAAAAGACTTTTTATGCAGCCAATATCATAATAATAGAGAATGTAAAGCCAATGTATCTATCTAAGCCCTTCGAACATGCGGAAAATGATGTCACATCCCACTGTATTTACCAATTTGAATGTACGTGTGGACACACATACATAGGGAGGACTCGTCGATCTCTGCAAGTAAGGGCTTCAGAGCATATTCCTAAATGGCTCCAGAAACAAATGGAATCTTCAGAACCTCTTAGCGGTGAGAACAGGAGACCTAGCTCTTCTATTGCAAAACATATTATAGAGACAGGACATAAAATTGATGTTTACACGTCTTCTAAACCTATCTATAGAGAGTATTTGGGGGCGTATCCTAAAGTTTGTGGAAGCCCTAGTTGGCAATTAGGAAGTTTAAACCACCTTTATGTGTTCAAAAACAATTCGTCGTCACATTAAACCTTCCTTAGTAAATTTTGTTTTGATAGCATAGCAGATGTACTATTACCTCTGTTATTTGGTTGAGTAGTCTTCATTGTTACTTTGACCTTGAATATGTCCTTTAAACTTGACAGAAGTCTATTTTCTCACCTCTTACCTCTTTATTAATTTCATATATATTCCTATGACAAGTTCGTGTGTGATCAGATTGTTCGAAATGTGTTGCTCAAATACATTACACGATTCAGACAAATTACGTCTTCTTATTGCTTTATCTAAATTCATAAAGGGAACTAATCGTTTTAAATAATAATAATAACAATAATAATAATAATATAGCTCAGTACATTCAGTATATCTGGTTACATATTATATAGTGAAATATACTTGGTTGATACACGAAGGCTCACTAAATCACTCACGTTAGGCCAGATCGAAGGATACAATAAAACGAATTCGAATCTAGAGCCTACTAACTGGGGATCACATTTTAAAGTCAATGAACAGTTACACCTTCATGTAGAGAGGAACACGAATAAGAAAAGATACACTGAATATAAGGCTCATGTTTTATTGTACTACTACTTATTGATAGAACAGTAGTAATTCTAACTCATGAAAAACAGATTACGTGGATTGTAGCAACAAAAAAAAAACAGGAAAACACCACTAAGAATGACGATACTTTCTAGAGTTTTTATCACTTGTTAGCAGTCTGGAATAAGAAAATTTCACATAAATAATGTTTAAATGAACAAACCTACACTGCAATTATATGAAGCATAAATCAAGTTTATAATTTACAGACGAAACGATTAAAAAAGGTAGTATGATGACTTGAAGAATCCCAGATTATTTGCAAATCATTGTATAAAAATGTCGAGAGTTAGCAAGCAGAGGGATTCAGATACATATTTTGCTTTAAATTGTGCAGTAAAGTTATAAGCTCAACTATTGTTTAGACTTTATTCATGAACTGACACCAGTTAGAGAACCAGTGGAAAACCTGGGAGTACTACTGGACAGCTATTTCATCAGCCTAGTTTGGGACTCTTCATCAGTACGTATCCATCGCCAGGGTTTAAACTCATGCCCTTCGGCTACAGGATGAGCTCATAGATCATTCAGCCACTGGGACCCGATCCAACGGCCAGCCAATGAATTCCAACTTCTGCCAATTCACGATATGGCGCAACCACTAGGGAATATTATGAGGATTTGTACCCACACGCGACCTACTGTACCCCACTGGTCACGACTTTTCACTAGAAACAAGGTAATGACCTACCCGAATGGGACCAGTCACTAGTGAGCATCAGATTGATATTTGGGTGTTGGCTTGCAGGGATTTGATTGGTTTCAGGATTTCATCATGAACTGACATCGGTTAGAGGACCATTGGAAACCTGGGAGTACTGGTCTATGAGTTCGTCTTATAACCAGAAGGTCCTGGGTTTCAACCCTGACGGTGGGTGAGTAATGATGAAGAGTCCCAAACTGGGCTGACGAAACAACTGTACAGTACTCCCGGGTTTACCAATGGTTCTCTAACCGATGTCAGTTCATGACGAACTCCTGAAACCAATCAAATCCCTGCAAACCAACACTTCAATATTATTTAGACTGGTGAAAAGTCGTGACATAACATTAGTTTACTTAACTTTTCAGTCTACTTCCTCGCTAAGACTGATGTTTTCAGCAAATTACTATACTATAGGGAAATAAATAGTAGGATTTTACGAGTAGACACGACTTATGATTATTGAAAGGGCCAAAAACATGCTCTACTACAAGCCTCAACATTGCACAAGTGGTTATGTCACATACCGTATTATATATCAATTTATGTGAATGTGTATACGTGTAGCCACATGTACACAGGGAGGTGTAATTGCGCTTTTCACGTGAGGGTAGGAGAACATATACCCAAATGATTAGAAAAGCGAATGAAATGTGAAACCTCGATAAGAGCAGGTGGGAGAATGATATCCAAACATTTTTCAAGATTATTTATGGAAACAGTCAGGGGTGTTTACAGAAGTACACCAAGGCGATAACTATTCATAAACTTAATTAAGAATTATACGTTAACTATCTCTCTAGTTCTTAACATTTTCTTCTGTAATTAGGAGATCCGTGAGAAAAATTCAAGGAAGCAGATAAGGCTAAAGCAGTGGAGTGCACGAAAGACGCTTATTATTGATTAATAAATAATATTCATGAGTAGTAGAGTCAATATGAGCCAATCAAGAATCTGTTACCAACAAATACACCGAAGAAAATGGAGATGGATAGGACACACGTTGAGGAGACCATTGGGCGAAATCGGACGCCAGGCCCTCGAGTGGAACCCGAATGGGAAACGACGAGTCAGACATTTGAAGGTGATATGGAAGAGATCATATGTAAAGGAGATGAAAGACTATGGGTTATCATGAGGCCGGCTGAAGAGGACTGAAGAGAATAGGATAAAATGGAGACGTGCTGCTGAAGTCGTATGTTCCACTCGAAACCCGAGGGAATAATACAAATAATAAGCATTTTATAGACGAGTCAATATAAGTAATAAGAGTTATCAGTGTGGAGAGATACCTTGAACTAAGGAGGTGGCAGATTACTCGATGATACTTGTATTCTCCCCCATACTTCGTTCATTCTTATTTATGTTAGGTTTGTCTATTTCCCTCTTCTACTGAATGGTGTAGTGTACAACCCAGGGAAAATGGACGGAATTTCTGTCTAGGTCATTAATTATGAAAAGGCCTATTGATATTTACAAACAGCTTACACTTCAATAGATAGAAATAGTTTAGAATTATCGACCAACTCTTTACAAGTAAAAAAACATGCATTACAGTGCTGTAGAGCTTCATTTAAACACCTAACTAATAAACCAAATTGACACACAAGCATTTGTGATTACTAGAACCAACTACGCGTTGCAACATATTATCGTCTTATGTAAATACATTATTGCTATTTGTCAAAAACAAAAAAGGAATAAATAGTAATTAGAACTTACAAGTACTCGGGTGGATTCATGACCAGACGCCAGACAAGAGAACAGTTTAACCAACGGAATTAAATGCTCCAGAAATTGAATATGACTTTGCTATAAATTTGAAAAAGAAAGAGAAAAAAATAAGAAAGAAAAATTCTAATCTCACAGGTACTACTTAACGATTGAAAGTATAATTTACCGGAAAAGTTTGCTGTTCACTAGTTGTCTTTTGAGAAGTGAAGGGGATCTATTATAAAAAATTTGAAAAGTTCAACGAAAAAGATAAAAAACAGAGTTAAGAAACCATAAGCAAGGAAAAAAATATTCTTTCAAAATAAAATTTATAATTTTTTGTTTTTATTATTCTGTACACTAGAATGTTTACATCAACAAATTACAGTAGAATGACCTTCACATCATCTCATAGTGCTTATGATTAGAAGTTGAAAAAGACAATAGCATATAGAAATATTCTAGGATATTTATTTAAACAATAAGAATGTTTAGCGCTTATAACCGAACCAGTAAACATGGAGGTCCATTTAAGAGAGTTGAAAAACCTGAATTCCAAATTTGTAGTGTACATGAGATCCGGAATTCGAAAGGAATGGATAGGATATAAATCTGTTTTAGCCACCGGTAACCATCGCAACACAGCTACTGGTGCTTTTCTGATACCTTATGAATCAGACTTTAGGTAATAAGCTCGAGAAAGGAGTCTATTAAGGTGATTACCTGCTTCATTTTGAAAGTTCAGGTAGTATCTTAGCCCCTCCCCCCACAAAACATAAAACAACAAGCTAATCAAAACATCGACTTGCCTGTATGCTAGCACATTACACTTCAGTCATTTAATCCAGTATCATTACATTCTTATTGACTATATTATTTTGTTTCATTTTCATCATCCTCATGTTCCTTTAGTAACTTTCCTTTTCTCAACTATTCGTTATTATTTGAAATCGCAGTCTGTCCGTACAGATTCGAGTTGCTGGTTAGTTACATTCAGAAAGAAGAACTATTAGTGTATAACTAATAACGGTATTTTGAAACTGGATTCCGTGTTCGAGCTTGTTCCAATACCACTCAATGATCCCTGGACCTGAGACTAAGTGGTAAAAGCGGAGGAGTGGTCAGCTCATCTCATGGCGGCATAAGATAAAAGGGATAGTTGTGTCGGCTTAGCATCTTTCTGAGTGGGACCCAAGACAACATCTAAATCACTGGCTCGAGATACTATCAGATATGCCTGGGAATATATATATAGCGCATTCCTCAATGCTCGTATTATACCAAGTTTGCGTTTCAGTAAAAATAATAAATAACTTGAATATTTAATAATTTGGAGAATCGAATGAAGTTGCTATTAGTATTAGATCAAAGTATCTAGAAAAATCACTTCTTATATATATAAAGCATATTTGAATACCAGGGCGAACGTTAGAGTTTAGCATTTTTGGTAGATGTATCTTGTAAACAGTATGGAAATTATATTCAAAGGATATCTCTAAATATGTAAATTTGTAAGAAGTTAACTTTAGGCAGGTTGACAATGACAAGACGAAGAAGAAGAAAACGAATCCAATTTAAACCAAAACCTTGAAAGCATAAACAACTGTAACAGTTTTATCCAATTAACACAAACTAAGACAAGGAGGAGTATAATTAACTTAACATCGTTTAATATATGATGAAATAGCTAGCTGACTAGCAAACAAAAAAGTAAACAAAAATTTTCATAAATTTTAACGGAGCTACATTCATAACAAACGTATGTCATGAAAGTTATTCAGCGTTACAAACAGCAGCAACAACAACAACAACACAAACGAACAAACAAACAAACAGACGAACAAATGACAATAAAAGGTGAAAAGCAATTAATTTCAATAGACGTTCACGTTGTAAATATAAAGAAGTAATTCTCAAAGAAACATCCATTCACGTCTTATCATGACAAATTTGCCTGTCATAACGTGAAGTGTTGACGTTTTTTTCCCCTTCTTATAAGATGACTTTAAAGAATTTTCACTATTTCAGAATAATACAATAAAAATCAACTATTCAGATTACGGGATTTTGGATTAATTTCAATTCAAAGATTCCCAGTTAGTTATATAAAAGAAAAGGTATTCAGAAAAGAGTCGCTCTTTTCGGCGATATCATTCTCAAGATGTACAACAATCGCAGAAGACTACTCACGAAGTTGGAAAGTCTTGGTATCAAAGGTAACTTAATAAAGTGGATTAGGGGATTCCTCATAGATAGGAGGCAGAAGGTCAGGATCAACTCAAAACTCTTCCCCTGGCCAAGTGTGTGGCGGAGTGCCACAATGAGTTATCTCTGCTCACGGATTCCACAGTGATCCTATACGCAGATGACTTAAAAATCTGGAGAGGGCTGGAGCGCAACAGCGATATGCTCAAGTTACAATGGGATCTTAATAAATTATTAGATTGGTCCAAAGAATGGATGCTACCGATCAACGTAGAGAAATGTGCAACCATGCGCACTGAACACGCAAGCACGAGCTCCTACGAACTAGAGGGAATAACACTTCCATCGGTTAAGACTCACTTGGACTTAGGTGTCATAGTTAACCACGACTTAAAAACTACAGCACACTGTCGCGCGGTGGCTGCACGTAGTTTCAGGTCATTATGGGAAATTTGCAGAGCCTTCACTAGAATCGCCACAGATATGTTCACCTCCTTATATACATTTCTGGTGAGGTCAAGACTGGAAAACTGTATCCAGGCTGCCAGTCCTTGTCATAAAGGGGACTCACATATTCTACAAAGGGTTTAAAGGAAGGCAACGCGTATGATTCCCTGCATGATTAATTTATCATACCAGGAAAGACTAGACAGTTTAAATCTTTTCTCCCTGTGATACCGTAGACAGGGAGGAGATTTAATTACAATGTTTAAAATTTTTAATGATGACTACGGACCTAACCTATTCTCCCTCTTCCTTCCCACCAGGTCAGAGCACCTTAGAGGACATAGCAGGAGAGTTCAGAAACTAAGAAGACACCATATTGCTTTGGAGTAGTGGCTCTCTCACCGAGTCATAAACTTCTGGAACCAACTGCCAAAAGGGGTGTGAACAACCTCAATTGACTCATTCAAGAAGGGTTCGGGCAAGCACAGAGATTTACTAGAAAAGGATTAAAATAGACTTTAAGCCTTCTGTCCTCAATCAACAAATCTAAATCAGAATATGTATACAGTAAATTGGCTTAGCTACAAAAGGGATATTTCCAAGGAGGTGTCATCAGAAATGTAAGTTTTAGATAACGAATTTCGTTAATGGGTTAGAAACTAAAATAGGATTAAATAAGCAAGTTCAGTCACGTAATCTGGTTGACTGGTTTGAGTAGAGCTCAACTAAAATTAAAATTGAATAAAAGTCAAGTTAACAACAGTGATAATAACGGGTACAGATTCAATAAGGAGTGGGGGAAGAAAATACAGTTAAGAAAAAACAAAACAAAAATTACGTATTTGGTGTTAAGATAGATCAGTTCCAGTGCAGATTTAATTACTGAACAAACTTTTTTATGCAGAGTTCCGGATTTAACACGTGAATCACCACTGCTTTTAAAGTTTGAAGAAGTTCGATTCGTACTCTTTCAGCAAGACTCCAACGTATTATGTAGATGACTTAGAAGTTACTTTGTGCGTTAGCTTGGTGTCCAGATTCGATCAAGTGTTCCAGAATAGATCTTCGGGGGGACATCCTTTCTCCTTTGTAAAACCATGACTGTGGGTAAGTGTCCGATGATACGTTTGGATAACACACACTGGGAACGGCCGACAAACCTAGCTCCACACCAGCAGGTGAATTGGCAGATGCACACTGATGAAGCCAACAGTGGTAGCTTATCCACGTTCACGTTCATGCGAATCGTCGGTTTCATAGAGAAGGTTAGTCGAAGTTCAGTCGCGAAAATGTTTTCTTCAGTGAGCGGGACGGGCGGTTTATCAGTATTTCTGTCAATGAATCTCTATTAAATTGTAGATTCAGGTAGAGAATTTTTTGGAAGCAGAAATTGTGGGCGGATTTGGTGGTTTAAGTTTCATAGATTTTGTGATGAAACGTTCTGGGTAGTCATTTTCGACGAGGATTCTCTTCAGAGTCTTTAGCTCCTCTTCCATAGTGTCAGGGCTGAAAACTCTGAGGATTATATGGCTCAGTGAACGGGTGAGTTTTCGCTTTGTATATAGGGACACCCAACTGTGAAAGTTAGTAAGTTGTCCGTTCCATGTCGACTGTCTGTAGATGGATCTTTTTTTAATGTTCCATCTTGTTCACGTCTTGTCAATTGGACGTTCAGAAAAGATATTTTTGTGTCGGATTCCTTCTCTAGTGTGAACTGAATTGCTGGATGGCGACTATCGAAGAAGTCCAAGATGTTCTCCAAATTCTCCTCAGTGTTGAAGATAATACAAGTGTCGTCCACGTATCTCTTGTGCAACCCAAAGTTATCAGTCATTTTCTTTAGATGTGTGTTTTCTAGTTTTGACATGAAAAAATCTGCAAGCAACGCCCCAAATGGTGAACCCATAGTTATACAATCTTTTTGTCGACATATTTCGTTATCAAAAGAGAATTGAAAATTTAGAGTGCATCTCAATGAGAATTTTTACAAATATTCAGTTGGTGGGGCGTTCGTCAACAATGATAACACATCTAGTGATTACATGGTTTGACTGGAAACACTAACGTTTTAATGGAATGGACAAAATCGAAGGAATCTCGGAGTAAGTGGTAGGAGATGTGCGTTCTGACTGGTTCTAGTAGGTCTACTAATGACACTTTTGGAAAAATTCCTTTGGTTGCTAAGACAATTTATTATATATATATATATATATATATATATATTCGGTTGTACAACTTGAGGATGATATCGCCGAAAAGAGTAACGCTTTGCTGAACGCCTTTCCTTTTAATTTCAATTGTTAGGCTTCGTCACGAACCAACATCAGTTACAGAGATCATTGACAACCTGAAAGTACCAGTTTTGATCTCTAGTGGGGTCATGAGGGTGTGCACTGTTGAAAGGTCCCAAAATGGGACAAAACAACAGGTGTCCAGTGCTTCGCAGCTTTTAATTATACCTTCAATGATATGGCTTGTGACGAAATCTAACAACTTAAAGAAAAAAATCAACTAAACAATAACTACTTTAAGTTGGGGATCTCATTCACTCAAGTAACAATACGTCAACTAAATGTGAACCAACCATCCAACAGTCTGACGAAATTCCGTACAATGATCACACTTAGTTCATCATCATTTCAAGTATACAAGTGTACACAGAACATGTTTACAGATACCAAATATAAAATGGAGTGTAAATGCGTAGATAGATTTCTCAAGAGAAAAAACTGTTATGTAAAAGGCATTTTACAAAACAAGATTTTGTCTTATGACTACTTTTTCAGTCTGTGTGCTTATTGTTTATCATAAAAGTTCACATAGCAGGACAATAATGAATTGGATTTGTAGCTAGAAGAATTTGCCACATTGAACAACTTATATACCAGTGTGCATATTGTATCACAAGTTTAGACAATTTACTAAACAAACATATACCACTACCAATGGAATTATGCTTGTGAAATAATTGTGTTTACAATTCACCTTTCCTTTTTTGATTTTAGTTATAATGGTTGTCATGTGCAGTGTACTTTCAACAGAAATAAATAAACACAAACATTTGATCCGTGTCATAAGAATGCTGAATATATATATATATATATTAAGTGGCTAGTTGATAGCCAACAAACAATTCAACATTTTTATTCGTATAAACAATAGATTTCTCGAACATTGAACAGGTTTATAGAAAGTACAGGTTGTCAGTAGGCAGTAGATTTTAAACACTCACATATTATCCCAATAGCAGTGTATCAAAGTTAGATGCATAGTTAAAGTGCTAACTATACATCCCATTTACACTTAAACCACTGACTTTATGTTTATTTATTGTGTAAATGAATGTTATGTTACTGCTCATTAGATAGTCTTCTAGTTCCAAATCCATGATAGCCATGATGATTAGAACATAGTGAACCAGTGAAATAGTACTGAGATATCTTTGTTTGTCTGTCTGTTTTCGACATAGAACTTTGCACATATGTGCAGCAGTTCAAGTCGCCACATTCCATGTAGCACACAAAGCAAGAGAAGGAAGTAAAAAGAAATGCATATTAGAGACAGTAAACAGAGGTGTGAGACAAAGGAATAGTAATAACGAAGAACAAAACACTTTAATTGGAAAGTATAAGTCAAAAGGAGTGGATGCATCTGCGCCACTGAGAACGATTTTGAGCCATATCACCGATTGTTTCCAACCATTGGTTTTTACCGTCCCGAGGACCCCAACCAGTCAGGAAGTCTACACCTTCCTACGTGGCTGGTTTAAACTAACTGTTGTGGATTTCATTGACTAATGAAGCCATGTTTTGGTTTGACCGCCGCTAGCTCTTTCCCAGCCTGACCCTATGTCAGCTAACATTGCCTGTCGAGGAAGGCGATGACTAGGCATGCCCTAACCATCTCAGTCGATGTAATTTCACAGTCTCGTCTATTGATTTCCCCTCCTTACCTAGCACTCGACAGATGCCTAACCTCAATATTGCTCACCTTATTATACCACTTCACACGGGAGACAGCACGCAGACACCTATGATCGAAGACAACTAATCTTTTCATGTCTTCCACTCTTAATAGCCAGGTCTCCAACCATAAAGGAGGACGGAACGGACTGATGAGCAGTACACCCGCTCTTTGGTCGATAGCCGGATATCACGTCTACGCCAGAGACGGTGTAAACTGGCATATCTTTAGTAAATAAGCAGGCAATATTGTACGAGAAAGTACAAATAAAGTCGGACTAAAACCACTGATCCACCAGACTGTTCGTTTCGAATAATTTTTTGTACTGACTACAAGATGAAGCTGCCTAAAGTACTGAAGATAAGTCGTAATCATTGAGGTCCACCGGGCTGGGTGTGAGAACAAATACTCACTAATGATATTAGTTGGCGGTTGCGCTAAAATCACGAATTGACGGAAGTTAGAATTCATGGACCATTGGATTCCGACACAGTGGCTAAACGGTCTACGAGCTTGCCTCATAACCTGAAGGTCTTGTCTACGATCCCAGGTAGGGTCATAGGTGGGTAATACTGAAGAGTTCAAAACCAGGAAGAAACAACTGTCTTGTAGTCTCAGGTCTTCAATAGTTCTTTAACTGATATCAACCGGTGGTCAAGCTTGGGATTTTACTTAGTCGACGTTCTCGAGAATTTCTAGAAACATGTTCATTTCAATTATGAAACAAATTATCATACTACGACAACTGTGACGTTAAAACAGCAATCATATATATATGTAAGGTAAACCTACGGAATCTGATGCTTCTTGAACAGCTTTCAGCAAAGATGTAACACGATAGTCAACTTCCCGTACAAACGAATTTGTATATACAGTCCACATATGCAATTCTGGACTCTTATCCAACACAAGAACTAGAACATGACAAGCCCATGTCATAATACGTGTTGCTTCTAAATGAAGACAACTTTCAGTAAGCGGTTGAATGATCTATCATAAAATTAGAAGAAAAAACAGCAAAAATTGAACAAGTTAAATAATTTAAACATTAGAAAATATTATGGGGATACATAAATAAATGTAACCGAATTTGAGATTGATTTTCTTATCAGTTGCAGGGCTCAGCTTAAAACAGCACCATCAATTACAAAACACAAGTACTAGTCTTATATTGCAGCTTGTTCTACTCTTATTGTCTGAAGTTTTACTCTAGGGGAACACTTCTAAATCAACCTGAGTTTTGATAATAAAGCTGTTCTGAGATTATTTGGTATTAATTATATATTTGCCGGGAATATCACAGTGACTGAAACGTGAAGAGCGTGAATAAACATGTTACACATCACACAGGTCTTTAGTTGACGATAAATTTGGTGTGAGTGTGTGGGGGGGTGAATTTACACAATTAAAGAATGCCGATTGTAAATGAAGCAGTCAGGCAGCTTAGGAATTAGAATAGCTGACATTGTTGAACGAAAAAGTCACCTGTATTTACTATTATTGAGAAATACACTGAACACCTTTCTTTTTAAGAAATTAGGTATATCCTGCGAACATTATCTGACCCTGGTTTTACAGAGGACTATAACAACTAACATAGATTTGGTAATCACCAATACTTTTACCACACTGACATTACAAACAAGGAAGGATCATAAAATGAATGGTATATGAGCTTGCCCAATGGGTGCTTACTGACGATGAGTACCGAACTACGTCGAAACAGTTGCCCAGTACTCTCTGGTCCTCAATGATTCCCTAACTGATATCAATCCATAGTCTACCCTGAAACGAATCAGATCCCTACAAACTAATTCTCGAAAAATATACGTATCTGTAAACTATAAGAAAAAAAAATTTACATGATGGGATTTGAATTAATTTCAGTGCAAATTTCGTCACGAAGCAACCTTTATAATCTAAGTATCAATCTCCAGCTAACTCATTGTTGGCTACCGAATAGATGTCCAGAAGTTGTAATTGGGAAGACATAGCCACTGGGGTCTATCGTGTTGAAGTGAAGTGGATGAGCTCATCAAAATGCCACTAATTGGTTGTGTAGCGCTGTATCTCACGAATTGACATAGTTAGAATTCACAGGTTAGTTAGTCAATATGAAGTCCACAAGATGATCTGGTAATCTGAAGGTCCGGGGTTTGATCTTTAGCAAGATCGTGGGGTGCTAAGACCTAATCTATGATGAAACAGTTGTCCAGAGTCTCATGCTTTCCAAAGATTCTCTAACTGATATTGCTTTGTAACAGAATCTACGTTGAAATACACACAAATTGGCATAACTTGTTGACTTTATTATCCTCAAGTTTAAAAGAAAATTTCAATAAACTGTAATCTATGCAATATTTGTTTTATTTAAATAACTCACCAGTAAAGCGATATCATCTCCAGTAATTCCTAATCCTGTAGAAGTGATTACATGTGTTCCAAACTGATCTACAGCTTCAACAGTTTGTGCATTAGCATGTTGATTAGCTAGTCGCCAGTAAATTAAACCCCTAAGTAAACCAGTTAATGCAAATGTTCCATGATCTAACGGTGCACAAGAACACGTTGAAACAGTAACACGACTGTCAACAGGACATGTAGATCCTAATTGTCGGTCAGGAGATGAAAGTGAATCCAAAGAGTTTTCATGAAATTGTTGAGCAGTATCACTAAGATGAAATTCACTTGACAATCCAGCGGAAGAATTATTATTATTATTCATCATTACAGTGTTAGCAGTATTAGTAGATACAGTTGGCACAGTGCTAGTGTTGTTACTCAAAATTCGTTTAGTACGTTGATTACGTGGTGTTGAATAACAAACATTAGGTAGAACTGGGGGCATAGTTCCAGTTAAATGACTATAACAAGCAACCAGTTTTATCGGTTCTTCTTCATTATAAACTGAATGTTGAAGCAAAATAAAAAAACAAACAATAAATAAGATAAAAATTATGACTGAAGTTCTCAGATGAAGTGCAAAAATTCATTCAACACATAAGGATTCCACTCCATTAAAGTGTACAGAAAATATTGTTTTGATTAAGAAATGTAATAAGGTGGAGATGTGACTCATTGGTTAGTCCATATTGTTTCAGCTTCTCTTCACACGATCTCCTCCATGTCACCCTTGGACGTCCCACTCACCGCTTCCCTTTCGGGTTCCACTCGAGCACTGGCCTGACGCGCGATGTCACCCAGCGGGGTCCTCAGCCAGTGTCCAATCCATCTCCACTTTCTCCTGCATATTTGTTGACCGATTGGTTCTTGTTTTTTTAGTTCCCATAGTTTCTTGTTGGTGATTCTTTCCGACCATCTGATCTTCAGTATAGAACGAAGACAGTAGCTGATAAAGTTCTGCAACCTGTTGAAAATATTCTTTGTGACCCGCCAAGTTTCTGATCCATCCGTATAGAAGAACTGACTGACTTGACGTTTGTATTGAAAATCCGAATTTTGTTGTTGATGCTGAGTTGAGTGACGAAGACTTCCAGATTGGTTTCAGGTTGATGAATGTGTTTCTCGCCTTTCCGATTCTCGATTTGACATCCTCGTCCGTTCCTCCTGTAGTTGAGACAATGTTCTCTAGATAAGTGAATGAAGTAACCTCTTTCAAATCCCTCCCGTTGATGGAGATTGGCGGTGGATGTTGCTGCTGCTGTTGTCGTTGGTTGGTTGGTTATTTTCATAACCTCCGTCTTGTCCATGTTCACCTGGAGTCCTGTCTTCGCTGCTTCTTCGACCAACTAGTTTGTCGGTTTTCGCTTGTGAATCTTCGATTTTGTGTGGCATTTAACATAAATCATCCGCGAAATCCAGGTCTTTTTTCAACTTATTTGGTAATCTGGTTTCCTCGTGATTTCATCCATATAGCATTACTAATTATTGTTATTATTTATTGTTCCTTTGGGTTTCGAGTGGAACATAGGACTTCAACAACACATCTCCACTTTGTTCTATTTTCTGCTATCCTTTTCAGTTGGGTTCACAATTTCCCATAATCTCTCATCTCCTCCTCTCACGATCTTCTCCATTTCACCCTCGCACCGACGATCCACTCGTCGTTTCCCATTCAGGTTCCACTCAAGCAATGGCTTAGTGCGGGATTTCATTCAAAAGTCTGCTCAGAGTATGCTCAATCCATCTAGATCTTCTCCTGCATATTTGTTGAACGACAGGCTTTTGGATAATTTGCTATCATAGTTTCTTGTTGCTAGTTCTTTTTGGCGATCCAATATAGTATACACAAAAAAAATATTTCATGCTCACATAAAAAAACACTTCTGCTTGTATGAAAAGGTGTCCTAGTTAAAAGCTGAGCAAAAAGCTTGTTTTTTCTCCTCTTGAGTTACATGTATTTCTCTAAAACTCCATATTTTAGCTTGTTGTATATACATAAAGTTGTAGTCAAGACTGTGTTGCTTAATGAACAAAAGCGAAATATTAATAACTTCCCACTAGCCTTGTTTTTCTCTAAAAGTAAAGAATGTGTATAGATTAATTTTAGGTATAGTTGAGTTGAAGAAAACATGAAGAAAATGTGAGTTACAACGGTAGACTTAATTTAGTTGAATAAAACAACTCAAAATTTACCTTTAACTTTGCTTCTTTTTTCTTTTTCTAGCAAGATTACTTTGCATTCCAAGTGGAACATAGATCTTTAAAACTTGGGCTTTGAAGCTTTAATGCCAGGGAGGTGTTTTTTTTACGGGGTGAGGTATTACCAGCCTCACGCACAACCTGGGCTCACTATCGCGGCTAGGCAAGGTTTACAAGAACATCGAACTTGGATCCTCCACTAAGTCACTGCCCAGTGGGTTTTTTTCCTTCACGTTCCCCAGTGGAACATAGGGCTTCAAGCTAGTGGCTGGAAGTTTCTGTAGCAGTGTTCATTGTACAGGATGGGGTTGCTAGCCTCATGCCCAACCTTTCCTCTTTACCAGCATTGTTTCTGGTTCAGCGAGGTAAAGGAGTGCACCGGCCGGGGATCGAACCCCGGACCATGTGCATGGTCGGTGAGCGTCCTAACCGCTATACCACCGACGCCTAGTGGTTTACTAGTGTAAAACTCTTTACCTAATTATTACTTTTCGTTTTAGGAAAATTAGCGGTAGTTTTTTCCGGATTCTGTGGAGATCAGTTAGTGAGGAAATTTGGTAAGACTGATACATACTTCCTTTCGGTTTCGAAAATGAAAATTTTTGAGAAAATCAACTTATTAAGAGCTTAAAAAATACTGATTTCAGAAGGCAGTAAAGTAATGATTTAAAGTGTGAACAAATTCACGCTGTAGTTGGTTGATTTTGTATTTTGAGTGAAATTATTTCCTGGTAGGGAAAGCTCCTTCCTACCGGTCGGTCGGTTTTCGACATAGAACTTTGCACTGATGTGCGGCAGTTCGAGTTACCACACTCCCTCCTTGTAGCACACAAAGCAAGGGAAGAAAGTAGGAGAAATGCATATTAAAGACATTAAACAGAGGTGTCAGACAAACGAATAGTAATAACGAAGAACAATATAGTTTCATTGGAAATCATGAGTCACAAGGAGTGGATGCATCTGCGCCATCACTGAGAACGATTTTGAGCCATGTCACCAATTGTTTCCAAACATTGGTTTTTACCGTGTCAAGGACCCCAACGAGGAAGTCTACACCTTCCTACGTGGCTTAGACTAACTGTTGTAGTTTTCATTTGACCGCCGCTAGCTCTTTTCCAGCCTGGCCCTATGTCAGCTAACATTGCCCGTCGAGGAAGGCGATGACTAGGCATGCGTTGTAAGGCATGTCCTAACCATCTCAATCGATGTAATTTCACAGCCTCGTCTATTGATTTCCCCTCCTTACCTAGCACTCGACGCCTAACCTCCTTCCTGCCGGCTGTTTTGGTACTGCATAACCAAAGTAAACTGACTGGTAAAGTCTTGTATAAGCGTTAACTGAATTGATCAGCTAGTGAAAAACTTATGCAAAGTGTTTTTCTAAACAATCAGAACTGGAATAACAGTTAGGGAAACAAACTGAAGGTATCCAAACAGAGAGAGACACGACAAAAGTTCATCAGGTCAATAAAATGTAACATTTTGGTAAATTTATAATGACAGGTTGATAAGTGCAGCTATTAAAAATCACACTTAGTCTAATATTTGCTCCAAAGTAAAGTTGCGGAAAATTCCATGCATATGAACACTTTTATGAAGTCTTCAGGTAGGCAATGACAATAATTTTCCAAAGACATATATGAACATGTAGAGAGTTTACTCAGTAAGTGCAAATCTTCGCCTGGAAGTAGTTACAAACAGTTATAGGTGTAATTTGTACTACTGAGTCATAATCACATAATAGGTTTGCAGTAATAGTGATGTTATTTGAATGAATGACTAATAAATCAATTAGTACTATTATTATTATTAATCCTTTGGGTTCCAAGTGGTACATAGGGCTTCAACAACACACACGACCTACTCGTCGTTTCCCATAAGGGATTCCACTCGAGCAATGGCCTGCATTAGATACAATGTCATTCGACGGCCTCTTCAATGTATGCCCGCTCCATCTCCACTTTCTCCTACATATTTGTTGAGCGATCGGTTCTTGGTTGATTTGTTCATCGCCAGAGTTTCTTGTTACTAATTCTTTCTGGCCATTTGATCTTCAGTAAGGAGCGAAAGCAGTTGTTGATACAAGTCTGCAACCCGTTGCAAATCCTTTTCGTGACACGCCAGGTATCTGACCCGTATAGAACAACCCACTGACTTCACATTTGTGTTGAAAATTCGAATCTTGTTCTTTATGCTGGTTGAGTGCAGGAGATTTCCAAACTGGTTTCAGGTGGATGAATGTCTGTCTTACCCTTCCGATTCTGGCTGGCTTTGACATCTTCATCCGTTCCAACCGCCTGTGGTTGAAACGATACTTCCTAGATAAGTCGAGGAAGTAACCTCTGTCAAATTTATCCCATTGATGGTGATTGATGCCAGTTATTGTTGCTGTCGGTTTGTTATCTTCTTCACAACTGTCTTCTCTATATTCACCTGGTGTCCTGTCTTCGCTGCACTGCTTATTCAGACAGTTTATCGGTTCTCACCTGAAAATCTTTCAGTCTGTGTTACACTAAACAAGAATCATCTGAGCAATCCAGATCTTCCAATCTTCTCATCGGTGGTCCACTGTATTATTGTCCCCTCGCTCCCACTGAAAAGTCTGATGCGTGATCCAGTTCTCCACAGTGAGGAATATCATGGGTGATAATAGGCAGTCTGTTATGTATGTGAATATGAGGACCTTGTAGACTACGAGCGAATCTAACTAATGCGCTGGCAAATCTGTCTTAATCGCACGTCAACAACAACAACAATAATACCGCCGGGCACGCAAGACAAATAAAAGAGAAGACTGGACGTTGATATGAGAGCTTTTACTGTCTCAAACAACAGTCGAAAATGTTAAACAACAACTCCGTATTTATACAATTAGAAAAATCAATGTCACCTTTTAAAAATATTAACGACCTTGGGGATTCAGTAATTTAAATCAATAATCACGCAGATGCGTGAAATCAATGATTATGCTAATGTGTGAAATAAATAATGAATATTAATGATTCCCCTGCGTATATATTACAGTCAGCTTGTCTTACTCCTGTATTCACTTCGAACACCTCGCTGAGTTTTCCGTTGTGGATCATCTGGTACGTGCTACTGTTACATAGCTCTTGGACGAGGCTGATAAGGACTTGGACACTGGACGACGTATTATCGAAGAAGTTTCCAAATTACTTCTCCGTCAACACTGTCAAAGGCCTTTTCGAAGTCAATGAAGCTAAGGTAGAGGTTTCACTGCCATTCTATCCTTAGTTCGATGATTAAATCAGGAAACCTGCTTAAATCATAATGGGTCAAGTAAATTTCCATCTCCCATAGTATATAAACTCTTTTCTATTTCTTATTTTTGTAATCATACAATTATATTATTGTATTGCTACATGAACTCGCGAGAACTTTTAGTGAGCATTCCAAGTAACACTGAGCAGTTCTCGAAGGAAAGGCAGGAAAACTGTTATAGATGATTGAACCTTGCTTTAGCTGGAACAGCACTGCCGATTACTACTTTACCGGAAGATCCTTTACGAAGAGGCTGAGAAGAATTCTGGATTATGTATTCACTAACATAATGTCTAGAAAAAAAATTGTTTTTATTATTATTACACATTATTACTATGTAAGGAAGCACAACATTTCCTAATCTCACGTATACCACTGAACAATAATGGTTATAATGACTTCATCAGTATAAACATACAGAAGATTAAATTACGCAGAAAAGATAAATAATGTATTACTACTAATCAAATTAGAGGCATCATTAGAGGCAAGACAATCACATTAAAGAGAGTGAACAGTGACAAACAAGCAACTAATACAGATAAAGGTATATACTGAATACGCCTTTCATTATATATATATATATATATATATATATATATATATATATATAACAAATTTAATTACTTTGAATGCATACAATAAAATTGATTAGAAAGGTGATTAAAATTAACTGATTGAAATCTGTTCTCAGATAAATAAATAAATGAAAACAATAGAATAGATAATGTATTCATATAATTGAAAAGAGCGCTTAGGGTTAAACTATTCCCATTGAACAAAATTAAACTCATTGTGATAAAGGTTAGCTAGTAATAAACCAGTAGATAGAAAGTTTTTTTCTAAATTTCTTTACGTTCCCAGTGGAACATGAGGATTCAAGCTAAAGCTCTGAAGTTTCGGTAGCAGTGGTACTTATTTTTACGGGATGGGGTTGCTAGCCTCATGCCCAACCTTCCCTTTATACCAGTATTATTACTAGCTTAGCGCGATAAAAGAATGCGTCAACCGGGGATCGAATCCCAAATCATCTGAGTAGTTGGAGAGCATTCTACCACTGTGCCATCGACTTTCGGTAAGTAGAAGTAAAGCCTAATAACAAAATAAGCATATCTGTTAGTCAAGCAAAAAAAGAAACAGATTAATTGATTTCAAAGAATACAATGTAGCAGAGAAATTCCACTTAACAAACACTTACTCTTTTTAAAAGAATCCAGTGCAGTTGGAAGGTGAAAGAACAGATGTAACATCAACTTCAGTGAAAATTTAGCAGCCTGGGACAAATGAAGAACACATAATAAAAAACAACATTCTAACTACAACAGAATAATATAAGCATATAAAGTATTTTTTTGGTTCATTTCCCAACCTCTTCGCCGCTAAAGATACCTTCTCACTGATGATGTTATTCCCTCAGATAGTTTATTCATTTCCACTTAACTCTGTGTTGATTATTGTTCACCATGTTAACTAGAGAAGTATCGTTTGCATTCTCTTAGAATTACACTATCAACTTGATATTTCACGTTTTAAACGTCTGAATCATACAAACCAAATCATGAAACAGCCCTGACTAGATGAGCCTCTACCAAAATGTTATATATCTGCTAGCTAGAGAAATTCCATACCAAAGATGTCAGGAGGTTATTTAGGTAGTCTTTGTTAATTTATTGGTATATAGATGCGACTAAGCTGAAGAGCGGGAAAGCCCTTGCTTGACTGAATTTATGACAATAAACAAAAACACATTGTGATTCAAGTAGATGGCATTTTTGCAATCTCCGATAAATCACTCCATGACTGAAAATGATCCCTTGTGTGAAAAAAATGGAGTGGACTTCGATTATGTATAGTAGCGCATGTATAACTGACTGTGTGAGACTGAACGAACATTGAAGGAAAGAAACTACGCAGCTGTTATATGCCAATCTTTTCTTAAGAACATAGAGTTTGTAATTAGGGTGAAAATAAGTAAATATTTCTTTGAACCTGACAGTAACATTCATTTTTAAGGAAAGCTGTGACAATTTAACCAATCTGCTGGAGATAAATTAGTTAATAAATACCTTTTTACCACTGTAAAACACTACTGTACCGTTAATTGTAACTAATAATTAATTTTCAAGAGTTGATTTGTAAGGATTTGATTTGATATAAGTATAAAATTTGGGCACCGTGGTAGAGTATATCAATGATGATGAGCAATAGTTTGTGCTCGAAACATCATCAGTTAATATTACCGTATAACACTGTGCGCTTTATCAAAATAAAATCTTATCCATAATGAAGGATTTGATTTGTTTCTCGAGTTTGACCATGGATTGATATCAGTTAGAGAACCATTGAAATCCCAGGAGTACTGAACAGCTGTCTCATCAGCCTAGTTTGGGACTCGTCAGCAGTACCCACCCACTGCCAGGGTTCGAACCCATTGACTTGTTACAGGACGGAGTACCCTGGAGTTCTGGTGAGAAGTCATGTCCAATAAGATGCAATCCAGTTGGGATGTGAGAATGGATTTTCCACCGATGACATTGGTTGGTGGTCACGCTAAAATCACGAACTGGTAGAAGTCAGAATTCATTCGCTGGAGATTGAATCGATTCCCAGTGGCTGAATGGTATATGAGCTCACCTCGTAACCGGAAGGTCCTGGATTCCAACCCCTGTGGTGGGCGCGTACTCCCAATGAGTTGCAAACTAAGCTGACGAAACAGCTGTCCAGTACTCCTTGGTTTTCAATGGTTCTCCAACTAATAATTATTTTACTTTTAATTTACTACGGCTATCTCCTACGGGAGGATGAGCCGGCTTCATGAACATCTCGAATCATCGCTGCCCAGGTGCGGCGATCTCATGTAAGGTTTTGCGACAGGGTTATCCAATTCTTGTTCCACAGACGGATTCCGTAGACAGTTTGTAGCCCCAGCCACTCCATATCAGCCTTGACTGTACTGAGAGTTCATGAAGTTTCATGGGAATTTGGTACTAATAATACATTATTTAAACCAAATTTGGATGAGAAATTTGTTTTTCAATTGACAGTATTCTGAATACTGACAGTCTATGACTCATAAAGCTGTGAGTGAATTTAAGAGGATTAGCTACTTATAATTGATTTATGTAATAATTATAATTAGATGTCATATGGTATTCTCCTGACTGTGAACTATAAGATATCGGGGATGACTAGTTGTTAATTCTTACTGCTATATGACAGTAACCCGATCTATTTGTGAGTGTATATCAAATGGGAACAATAACAATATTATTATTAATAATAATAAATAAAGCCTATAATATTATCAGTATATAGCAAAACACATACCAACTGATTACTCGGATTAGTTGTACGATTACAGCCGATCCGATTGCATAATGCCTTTCCACGATCCATAGAACAAGATCTTAACTGATCACTGTTTGTACAGAGACGATGTCTACACGAAATGAACATAATTGTTTGATGACATAATTTCATAGCATTACAACAATGCAAGCGTTCAGCTAATTCAGGACTTGTAGACAATAAAGATAAAATTTGAATCAGTGAACATCTTGCATTTGCTGTTAATACAAGTGCATTAGTTATCTCTGAACTGTGAGATGTCAAAACCGAGCTACTGTTGCTGTTGGTGGTGTTGTTGTTGACATCAGTGACTATATCAGGAGGATTAATTAATAGTGATTTGATTAGTACTTCTAACGTTTTCACTGTAAACCATCGCTGAAACAAAAATAGCAAGAGAGATAGAATTCAATTTCAGTTAGACAAGCCTTTTCGAAAAACAAAACAACACTATTTTGCAAACAAATTCTTTGTATTAGTTTGATTAGTTGGTGTGTAGATTTCACGGTAGAAATCATGATAAACAGAAATCAAGTAAGAGAGAAAATCTAAACAATAAGGAGCATGAAAAGCTTGGAGAATATCAAGCCATATAAAAATCTATGAAACTTTTAAACCTATCCAGAACTGAAGTTTCAAGGAATAAAAATACTTTCACTACATTATCATATCGGGTTGAATGCCTTCTATCTATTTTCGATGAAAAGGCTGGCATTGTCGGTTATTAAAGCTTGTTACGCATCTATCTATCACTATGGCAGAAATATAGTTTAAAATAAACTTACATATAAGCAACATACAAGTAACCGCGTCACATCCCATTGTATTTACCGACTTACTTGCGTGTGTATAGGCGTACACGCATAAGGAGGAGAAATCGCGATATATGGTTTAGACTATGATGCGTTTTACTACACGGATGAAAATAAAACTAACCTGGCAGAGTCGGGGTGGGGTGGGGGTAGACCTCCGTCTTCCTCTCGAAATGCCTTTATTTGGTCAAGCGTTCATAGCTTCAGCCAAATAAGTCCTAATCATTGTCCTTATGCGGTTAGGGTGTTCACCACAACAGTGAAAAGGTGAATGAAAACGTATGGCGCTTACAACCGGACTGGTGGATGTATGTAGGCCTACCTAAGGGGGCTGGAAAAACCTGATTGCAAACCTATGGTGCATCTCCTGGTTCCCATAATGTACCAACTTTGTATTTTAACAATAATAATAATCCATAGTAAGTAAAACGGTTTACTAACTCAGTTGGGAACAGTTTTTAGTATACTGTGTGGAAATGTAGAAGCCTTTGTCATTTGTAAATATATACAGAGTTTAGACTCACCCTGAGGACAGTCTCAATAATATCACTTTAAGTTTCATATCAATGATGGTGTTTCGTTTGCTATATTTTCCCGTCTTAAATTGTTTTTTTAGTCTATATATTGATTTAATTGATTTTTCTATTTTCATATGAACAAATTCCACTTTTTAGCTAATCTGCTCCTGATTTTGATGACAATTATGACGTAATTAGAATTTAAAATTTTTTTTAAAACAATCTTAAAACTCAAACAAAAAAAAGCTAAAACAAACAGCCTACTCATTTTTAGCTTATATACGTCAACAACTGTTGTGTTGTGTTGTGTTGTGTATTGTACTACTTACAATGGCAATTTTTTCTCGAGGAGTTTGTACTAACACTGCGCCCAAATCTTCAGCTCGAAAAAGACTACGCAGAAATAACAGATCTGCTTCGCGTACCATAGGATCTGTTTTCTCATTCAAGATTACTATTTTTCAATAGTAAAAAAAAGAGAGATGTGCAAGATAAGAAAAAAGAAAAAGAATTGTGTAAGACAATAAAAATATGGCAATTATATTAAACACTAAGCTGATAGAAATTTAAAACAAATCTAGTTTTCGTTATAAACCCCAACACTAGCTGATAAGTTATGGTTGAGGTTGCTTTAAGAGACGTCATAGAACGCACACACACACACACACACACACACAGAGTTGCCAAGTGAAATGAAACAGCTGTTCAGTGATCCTCACTTTTTCATCAATGTTGGGTTATGATAAAAGTTATGTTGAAATCAGGTGTTTCCCAACACAACTTTCTTCCCACTTGTTAGTTATGATCATATCTCGAGTTATGATACAACTATGGGGTGTGATTTTCACAGTTTTAAATATTCCTTATCATTTATTTAGGTGATAGCAGAACTTTATAGCTATCAAGAACAGGTATTAAATCATTCCTATTACAAGTAAAATTGTAGAATTTACACTTGGTATAAATGTGAACAGTAAAATTGAGTTTGAAATAACAGTTATTTTGAGCCACGTATCATATTGGTTACCATAGGAAATCGTTCTCAATGGATGGCGCAGATGCATTTGCTCTTTGTGATTTGTCATATGCAAAAAAAAAATACTCCATTTTTCTCCCATATTATTATTATTCTTTTCCCTTCACACTTCTATTTGTTATCTCTCTTCTCTTGCTTTGTGTACTACATGGAGTGTGATAACTCGAAATGCTGCACACCTGAGCAAAGTTCTACGATGAAATCAGTCAGTCACCGTGGGAGATAGGAAACAGCAATGATGATTAGCACGGTGTATTCAGAAAATAATCAATACGTTTACTTTTAAATTGAACTCAAAAGGAAGGTTACAATTTGGATTTGGGAAAGTGGCTTAAGAAAATGGTACCATCTGTTAGTCCAACTGGTTTACCCTAATGTATACTCAACTCTTATGAGAGCCATTGCTCTGATATGAGCTGAAATTCTTTCCTATATTATTCGTATCTTAGTCACTACAAGCTACCGATGTTTGTCGATATAGCGTGCTATGACCATCTATAAGATTCCCAATTGGCAAATTAATTTTCAATTTACGCAGTTTGAGGTGGGATTTCACCACAGTTTACTTTGGAAACGTAAATTATCCAGATCACAATACGCCATCCACTCGATACCGTTAATAAACAGTAATCAAGAAGGGAAGTATATTTGTATAAATTTATATACTTCTGATTATTTGAGACAAGTAGTTGCCTACCACTCACATCAGCTGGTGTGTTTAGATCACTTCAACTTGTTTATCAAGCACTACTGTTTCAACCTCAGACGGAACAGGTGAAGATGTCAAAGCCCCAGTCAGAATCGGAATGGGTAAGGTCAATCTGAAATCAGTATGGAAATCTTCTGCACTCCGTGGCATAAACAACAAGATTCAGACTTTCAACACCGATGTCAAGTCAGTTCTTCATTACAGGTCGGAAACTTGCACTGTGCGTCACGAGAAGCACTTCCAACAGTTCAGTGTAGACTTTTATCAACAGCTTCCTTCGCTGGCTTTATATTGAAGACCAAGTGGCCAGCCAGAAAGAATTAGCAACAGGAAAGTAAGGGAACAAACCAACCAAAAACCTATCGTTCGAGAAATATGTAGGAGAAAATGGAGATGGATCGGGCACATGCTGAGAAGGCCGTCAAGTGACATTGCGCGCCAGGCCGTCGCTCGAGGGGGATCCCAATGGGAAGCGACGAGTGGGTCGTCAGTGTAAGGGTGACATGGAGGAGATGAGATTGTGGGTAATCGTGGGCTCAGTTGAAGAGGATAGCAGAGAATATAAAAAAATGGAGATGTGCTGCTGAAACCCTGTGTTCCACTCGGAATCCAAGGGAATAATAATATAAAAAATTTACTTTTAAAAAGCTCAAAACTGATCAACGTAGAACTTTGCATACAAGTGTGTCAGTTTGAGTTATTAAACATTTAAAACAGCACTTATTGTTTAAGTAAATTTGCATTTCCCGTTGCTTGACTGTTGACTATTTTCGGTTTCTCTTGATATGTCAGCTTTGATGATGTCTGAAGATTGATATGATGTTATTTTGATGCATGATGACATGCAGTGGAATCCAGGATACGCATTTCGACCTGCTTGGGACTCGTCAGTACTGAGAGGAGATATGTCAACAGAGACCGGACATTTCGGTTTAACATAATCAACCAACGGGAAATGCAAATTAGCTTAAAAAAAGTAGTAAGTGATACGCAATGCACAAGAAGTGGCCCACTGTGGATACGGCTATGGCATTTTTTAAAATTCTTTTTTTGATTTTTGATTAGAGCTTGAAACCACACAGTATTTTTGGTGCAAGTTTGGAATTTTCAGCATATGATATCGGCAGCCCAAATTTTACAGGCCGACAAAAGATATCAGGTGTGCGTCGGCAGTGGGTCGAACCCCGGACCATGTGCAGGTCGGTGGCACAGCGGTGAAGACTCTCGCCGACCATGCCGACGCACACCTGATATCTTTTGTCGGCCTGTAAAATTTGGGCTGCCGATATCATATGCTGAAAATTCCATACTTGCACCAAAAATACTGTGTGGTTTCAAGCTATGATCATTTGAAAGGATACTTATACGGTTTGAGTCTCAGTGGGAACACCATCAGTCACTGGAGATGCAGGCACATTCAGTTAACGAGTCACGAATGGGACATACGCGTCCGGGATTCCACTGCTAGTTACCATCAACCAATATAACAGGAAAACTGCACACTGAAACTACAACAGAAATGTATTATTATTATTGTATCCTTTAATTCCTAGAGGAACATAGGGCTTCAGAACAGAAATGTATATTTGAAAGTAAAAAGAGTAGTTAAATAAGAAATAGTAGAGACACTCCGAATTTCGGAAATGATAAACAGTAAACACGTTTTCACTTCTGAGTCTACAAACATAAATTCTTCACATGCTGAGAATTGCCTCCATGCAATCAACATATCTCTCTACAGGGTTCAGACTGACATTTACAAATTTCGCAGACTTGTGGCATATATTGGCCTTGTTCTTCCCTGAAGGTATCTCAGCCAAATAACGATGGCTAACACTAATCTCTTCTAGGAAGGTGATAGTCCAGTATTCTCTACATTTACTCCAGTCACCTAATTGCCTTGGATTCCACAAGCTTGTCAAAATTACATTTCATTTCAACAGCACTCTCCGTAGTGTTTTTACAAAACATGATTAATTCTACGAAGATATCTGTAAACTCCCTTTAATAAGTACGCGAATGTCTCATGTTTTTGATTGCATACTAGTCAGTAACTAGTGTAATGTGTCTAGTCCTATTTTCGGTGCAGACTGAATTCGATCAGTCATGTTGCAATGTGGCCACCATGCTAGGTGGCTCACCATTACAGTGCACTGTGAATTGTTGGTATTAGATGGTTGGAGGCAATCGGCCGAAGGAAGCCTTAGACCTAGGTTTCACGCTAGTTGGCACTCATCAGCAAGGCGTATCTGCAACCTTGAAGGAACTGATGTCCCTTCTGAGATTCGAACCCGCGTCACCCAGTGCTGCAGTCATGTGCACACAAGAAGGTGCTATTCAAAGAGAACATCTTTAAGGATGTATACTAAATTTCGTAGTACTAATCCAACTCAACCTAAAGAAAATAATGAAATCTCTTGAAATACATATAATTTGGATATTATAGGCATCAAATATAATCAAAAGAATGCGTGTACTACATGTGAAAAAGATTCACCTTGAACTGTTTCATGTAGATTATTGTGATACAAAGAAGTATGAATTCAAAATAATTATTTCACTGTCATTCATTTTTACTATTGCACACGATAAATTTTACCAGAGATACTTATTAACCTGTATAACTAACTATATATGTATACTGTACTACACGTCATAAAAGTTTGATATTATGCAATTTTAGTAGATACCAAATTCTTTTCTTTCATGTCTTAGTCAAGCAAACAACCACAGGAAAATTAGGAACTCAAGTTTATAGAAAATTAACTCACAATGACCAAATACTTAATTACAACAGCAACAATCCGATAACACACAAAAGTAGTTGTATACAAAGACTATTAAAGAGAGGTAGGACTCATTGAAGCACTCCTGCCTTAAGGAAAATTGAAGAAAGATATCTCATGAACGTCTTCCAAAAGAATGGATATCCACGCAACTTTGTCAAAAGACATATACCCCCAAGGCAACCAACCAAATCAAAGATCTCCAAGGAAAGCACAAAGAAAATCGCTCTACCATATATAAAAGACATCTCAGAAAACACTGCAAGACTCTTCAACCCATTAGGAAATTATGTCGCACACAAACCAACAAAATCACTTCAGTCAGCTCTGTGTCAACCAAAAGATTCAACAGCGAAAGAAGACAAAACCAACATCATCTACAAAATAAATTGTAACAACTGCGAAAAACACTACATTGGCCAAAGTGGACGTCCCCTTCGTCTTCGTATCCACGAACATAAGCTAGCCGTCAAAAGACATGACATCCACTCCCTCATATCATTACATACAGACAACCACAGACATCAATTCGATTAGGACAATGTTCAAATATTAGACAGAGGAAACACCAAGAATGCTGGAGAATTTTTAGAAGCCTGGTATTCCAGTGAATCGTCAATCAATAGACACATCGAGAAAGATCAAATTTACCAACCAATAAGAAGGAAATCTCACACACAAAGGGACAAAGTTCAAGTCAAGTAAACAATCAGTTCCAATATCACAAGTAGCCTACAGGGTGTGAAAACACAAAAAAAACCAATCCCGTTCAAGGTCCCCAGGAGAGATGACTAATAAACTCCTGGAGAAATGTAAAAGCTTACTTCAAATTGAAGTACGCGCTGAAGATGTTGCCTCATAGGGCAATGAAAGCTTCGCAAATAAGCTATCCAGCTCAGAGAATACAACTACATCTAAATTTCTTTAATGCTTACATAGCCAAGAGCGTGCATGACTTCAGATTTATTGCACGTTTTATAGTTGGCTAAGGGAAGAAAGGAAGTTTTGAACGACTATCTCACAAAATGGTAATCAATATGCCTGTCTGCAGCACTGAGGATAATCATAATGTTACCCGAATACTTTTAGTGATGATAAAGTCACTGACTTCCCAACACTGGCATACCACGAGTTCGAGACAGCATAGATACAAGAATTTCTTGAAAATTGCACATACACCTTGCCTAATGCCAAAAATCACGAAATTTACGTTGAGTGTTTCAGCTTCTCACCTCATTTTAGTGTCTAGAATTATGCATTGTTCAGTTTCACATTCATTCAGGATAGGGATAAATAGTCTCTCCTAGTATGAAGGTTGACGACTAACTGATGCTTGTGCTATATGCAGTCAAGCGCCACCACTAAGATTCAGATAAAATAGTACTAAATTATTGCAACAGCTTAGTTATATTCAGAATACCGGCCACCTTGACTACTTACTTCATAGAATGGTTGTATATTACATAGAGAGAGTAATTTGACGCTGAATTCTTATGAGGAATTTATGAAAATTCTCTTAAAGTATTAATGTGACTGAAAAGTGAATGACTACTACTACTACTAGTAGTAGTAGTATGTTTGATGGGTAAATACAGCGCAAGAATAGCATGTTATTAAGCAGAACACACTCAAATCTTTTAACGGTAATAGCACTTAAGTTTAAAAGCTCTATCTGACATTAGTTTTATTTACCATAAACACCACTAATGGAGTTATTAAGAATTTTTTCTCGGAAAAGAGTAATATTAGTTAGTAGTAATGAAGGGGGAAAAAATGAATCTATCATAGTTTTTTTGTGATAATGATCACAAGTCATCGTAGACGCACACAGGCACATTTACAAGCATTTTCCTTCTTCAGACTGAAGTTAAACAAAATACTGAAGGCTTAGAATAAAAGCAAATGACAGTGGAACTTTCACACACACATACATACATGGGTATAATGGGCGTGTATAATGTCCAAGGCATATGCTGACTGACCACACTAACCACCAGCAGTTTTACACATCCTAATCAATTAAGGTAGCATAATTTACTCCTTATAGATCATTTCATAATTACAAATCAATAATTTCTTCTGTTTTTTATTTAAAGGTCATTATTAACACTATCCTCGGAGGTTTGTATGGTGTTGTTAGATATTTTGAAAGGAAAGTGCATTTTGTGCTATACATTTACCTACTAGTTAAGTTGTGTGTGTATGTGGGTGTGTGTGATAGTGTGTCAGTATGTAAGGGAACTAAATAAAAGAACACTGATTACTAATTTTAATTACGTACGTCTATCAATTAATGAACAGACTATTAAATTAGTACTGTACTTTTAAAAAGGAAGATAGAGACGACAACGGTTAAAACTGTGCTCTTAATATTATATACACATATGAAGAGCAAGCTGACAACTTAATTTACGAATTTACATTAGATACACCAAAATAAAAAAAGATTTAAGTCAACAGTTGCTTTCAATATCTCTTTTTCCTTACACTAATCTCTACAATGACAAATTCAACATATCATAGAGTAGCCAATAACGGCAAAATTAAAGCTATGCCAAAAACAGAAACACACGGTGGCTAGAATGAAATGTGGTTTAGTTAATGGATAGAATGGTTCGGCGGTAGGTTTCGCTTGTGCTTTAATTGCATGCATAATGCGCAGACAATACAAACACGAGGCAGATATAGTTAAACTACAGAAGCCTATCAGTAATGACTCAACTAAATAAATGACTCAACGAAAGAGCCTACAAAATGACATCAAAGCAACCAATCACATCATGAATTCCATGTATGGATTGTGCTCATAATTTGCTCTTCATTTGATACCCTAGTTTTATCTAGATAATGGATCATCTATTAAGCTTTAACGAAGAAACCGCATTACAGTACTTTAATGAGGAATAAGATTGTCCATACATTTGGGAACAAAGGTTTATCAATAAATTTACCAGTCTTAATGTAGATCTTCTGCGACTGATCCTTCATAGTCGTTTAGATGGTACTTAGTGGTGGCTGCTACAATTTAACTTCAGCGACGTGTTTGTGGATCTGTCGTCAAAGTGTGAGTCACAATAAATAAGAATAATGAAAGCGCAAACACAGAAAAGATCTAGCAACACGTCACATATTGTCAGCCTAGTGCGAATAGTGTCTTCAAAGAAAGTAAAGGACAGAAAAAAGACTGTTAAGCTATGCAGGTACGCAAGACACGGAGGTATGAAATGATCAAATCTACGATGAGCTTTTGTCTGGGCCTGGGTATATATAGAACTTGAAGGTGATTTATTTAGATACAAAAGCTTAGCCTATTCTTACTAATTCTAATGGCTTCACTTGTGAATCAAATACGTAAACGTGTACCAATCTGACGTATAACTTAGCACTTTAAATACTACTGTAAATGTGGTTTTTTTTTTCACTAAATGAGATGAGACAGCATTGTTTATTGAACGAGTTATTTCTTTCGACAGAGAAACTGGGACACAAGAAAAAGTCAATCAAATAAAACTAGTCCCCACAGGAGAAGTTCAACCTGTGTACACATATTGATGTTGCTATTTGTAATGACGTATACTCAATATACTCAATACACTACATCAGTATAGGTCAAGTTGAGAAGCTTGTGTTATTCGGCGGTATTCAATGTCTTTCAAAGAGGTTTAATCAGCTTATGACTTAATATATCACAAGATATTCTGTCTTTGAGTTGCATTCATAGGTACATGTTTCACTTACTCACTCACTCACTGATCCCCTTTATCTTATTAGCTCTAGATGTGTACTTCTTCACAAAATTACTGTGATAACCATTTTATGCAAAAGGACGCTTCATTTTATCAATACAACAGTTTGTTGCATTCCATAACGTACAAACTTTTCATAGACACCACTGGTACTCTTCAGATTAGGCATTTTTCTTTCATTAATGCAGTTACTGAAGTGTGAGTTTTTGTTCTATGACGAAGACAGAGAATTAAATTGCATTTGTACTTCATCAGTGTGAAGTTATGAGAGTGAGTGTACTGTCTGATCAGCGTAGTTTTCCTTAAGGCATATCTCTGTGTAGACTCATGATTTCTTCTAGCTTCATGCCCAACCTTCCTCCTTTACCGAGTTTACTATCGTCTAAGTAAGATTTCGCAGTGCGTCGTCCGGGAATTGAACCCCAAGCCACATGCGTGGCTGGTGAGCATCCTACCACTGGACAAGTGATACACTAAATTTCATTGCGTCAGCTGGATATGATTAAACACATAGAATAGATCCTGTTTATGAAGTATCTTATCACAGATAATAAACGATACGTTTTCATAACGAAAAAAATATTCAAGTATTACATTCATATCGTTTAAGACTATAGCAACATTGAACGGATGTACGACTGTATTAAACTCTAACTCAAACAAAACAACTAGGCATAAATATCGAAACGTACGGAGTGATCGCTTAGGCACATTGTCCTGTCCTGAATTCTACATTTACTTCACTTCTTTCTGTCGCTTCATATTTCACTCCTACAGTCAGATTTGGTAAACAGTCCAATAATAGAGGTCGCGGTATGTCATGAATTGGCAGAAGTTAGAATTCATGGACTGGCCATTGGATCGGGTCCCAGTGGCTTAATGGTCTACAAGCTCGCCTTGTAACCAGGAGGTCCTGGGCTCGAACCGCGGTGGATGCGCACTGCTGAAGAGCCCCAAACTAGGCTGACGAAGCAGTTGTCCAGTACTCCCAGCTGGTTTTCCAATGGTTCTCTAACCAATGTCAGCTCATGATGAAATCCTGTAACACATGATTTAACTGAAACAGGCAAATGATATTAGATGGTTGGAGGCGATCGGCCAAAGGAAGCCTTGGACCTAGGTTTCGTTCTAGTTGGCACTCAACAGTCAGAAAGGCGTATCTGCAACCTTGAAGGAACTCATGTCCCTTCGGAGATTCTAACTCGCGTCACCCAGTGTTGCAATCAGAGACGTTACCACTGAGCTATTCGTACTCACGATTGACCTCCTGTAGGGCTGTATATTTTTGATATAGTATTATATATATAATACTACAAAAGGGAACAATGGTTATGGGACACTTAATGTTCTAATACTACCACGTAATAGATTAAGTATATTATAAATACAAAAATGCGTTTTTATTAGTAAAAACAACAACAAACAAACAAACTGACTTACAATTCATGAAATCATTCAGCAATTCCGTATGATTAAGAATATCTTCTGATAATGAAGAACAATCTCGAACTAGACTGTTGACTAGGCCAAATAAATCAATGCATATATTAATGTGTGTCATAGACCATTGTTTCAAACGACCAAGTGAATCAAGCAGGCTGAAATTAATGGACAATGCATTATTATTATTAATAATTATATATGTATATAACATGATTAAATTTACTTAATTAGCAAGGAAAGTTTTATTTAGAAGAATGGATAATGCAACGTCATTAATCAACCAGAGATGACTTGTAAAAGAAACATAGCAAATAGAATTGTTAGAATTTTGTCACGAACCAACATCGGTTAGAGAGATCACTGAGACGCCGGGAGCACTGGACGAATGTTTCGTCCTATTCCGGGCCTCCTCCTCATCAGTGCGCATCCGTGATCCCACGAACCTGGGACCTTCATCAGGTGGTTACAAGACTACGCTCGTTGACCATTTTAGCCACTAGAAGGACTGGAATTCAACTTGTGTGATATAGTGGTTCTCCTCACCAAAGCATTCGATGGGTATCCAACCCCCCCCCCTTTTGATGTTTGTTCGTGACAAAAATCTAAGAGTTGTAATTAATCCAAAACTCTCACAAATCGTATGATCTAAGTATGAATAGGAAACAGTTTTTATTAATCCAACAGAAATATGGAGGATATAAAAAATGATGAATTTACTGTAATCTCTTTACTAAGCTATGAAGTAGACAATCTAGTAAATTTTACAAAAATTAGATTACAGGGTATAGGTTCAGAATCATATGAAGTTCTACTCTGTGTGTTGCTGAAAATACGTTTTACTTGTTTATGGACAAGAGTAAACCGAATTCTGTCACAGATGATATGATGATTGGTTAGTACCCTTAGATCTTTTAAATCAAATCGTTTTGTGTAACCCAGAATGTTGACTTAAAAAAATATAGGCGGTGAATTGTATTTATTGCACTGGTTGCAAACTTTAGTCAACAGCTACCTTCACTTTATATTGAAGATCAGATGGATATAAAGGATAAGCAACAGGGAATCTATTGCCCAACTGATATGCCGAAGGAAATAGAGATAGATCAGACACACGCTGAGACCGTTGAGTGATATTTCGGGCCAGGTATACCCTCGAATGGAAAACCCCGACCGAAAGCTGCTACCTTGACGTGGTGGTCGGGCTTGAACACTGCAATGACCCAACAAGCTATACTGGCTGGAACTTATGTTCCTGCAGGTCCTACCATGCCAGAAAGGTTGTTTGGATAGCAGTTAGACTAAAAGCAGTTACCCAACCCAATCCTATGATTTCAAATAAATCACAAAATATCATGCCGGATCGGTCGGGGCCCGGATTAACAACGACCGCGCTTTCTGCTGCCGTGTCACAGGGCAGAAGTGATAAATACGCTACTGAGACACACCAAATAAAAAAGAACAAACAAAAACAGGCCGTGTGTGACCGGCCTCAAGCAGTTGTCCCCTGGGCTCTGCAGTCACGCAACCAACTTCCACGGTGTGGGCAGCCGGAAAGTAACAATCGCCCTCACAATCCGAAGTGCACGCGAAACCCCTCTAATCCTCGCTCATCTTTGTCTTCATCTTCATCTCTATTATCTTGCCTTCCTTCTACCAATGCAACTCCTCTACTTGTTGGCTCTTCACTTCCCCTTCACTCTGTGTGCACTGATAACGATGGAAGCCAAAAAGCCACCACCGATTGTCTCCTAAAACCACGCCACCAATTTTATATAGGAGCATTTAATGTTAGGACACTTTGCCAAATAGGACAACGAGCATCACTAGCCAAGACTCTGGCATCCCGAGCCATTGATGTATGTTGTGTTTCAGAAACACGCATACAAGACCCAAGTGTGGTTATTCACCTAACCCCACCTGGCCAACAGGATGAATCTGCAAAATTCACCTTGAGGGTGTCAGGAGATGCGACGGCTAGCTCACGAGGATTAGCTGGTGTTGGGATAGCTTTAAGTACTAAAGCAGAAAAGACATTACTTGACTGGATCCCGGTAGATAGCCGAATGTGCGCTGTCCGCCTGAACGGATCAGTGAAAAGGAGAAAGGACTGCACTACTCGCCGATGCCTTTTCGTAATCTCCGCCTACGCCCCCACTGACTGCAGTTCGGATGAAACGAAGGATGAGTTCTACCAAAAGCTGTCTAGTTTGCTGCGAAAGGCTAGACGCTCAGATATAGTCGTTTTAGCTGGTGACTTTAATGCTCAAGTAGGGAAATTGTGTCAATCTGAGAAGAATGTCGGTGGCACATACGGAATTCCGTGCCAGCGAACCGACAACGGTGACCGTCTCCTACAGTTCTGTTCAGATAGTCATTTGTATCTTGTAAGCACTAACTTCAAACACAAGGAGAGACACTGTTTGACCTGGCGACCCCCCATCATCAAATCAACGCTGGACACAAATAGACCACATAGCAATAAGCTATCTTGGCGTGGGTCGGTAGGAGATTGTCGCTCCTTCTGGAACACGTGTGTAGATACCGATCACGCACTGGTCCGCGCTCGTGTGTGCTTACGACTGAACGGACGTAGGAAACAGCTGGCAGTAAACCCATCACGTCCCCAGCTCGACCAGGGAACTAAGTCCCTATTTGAGGAAGAACTAGCTAAACACATATCTGAGTTTGACAGCTGCGCTCACCCTGAAGAAGCCTGGAAGAATATTCAGTCAGCCATAGATACAGCTGTAAAAGCTGTGAATAAGGTAAATCCAAAGGTGAGTAAAAACCATTGGATTTCGACTGCCTCATCCGAACTGATAGATGCTAGAAGACTTATTCCGGCGAGCTCCGAATTCAATGAGGAGCGAAAGCTGCACAAGAGGAAACTTACGAAAAGTCTCCGCAAGGACCGTGAACAGTGGTGGTTGACAAAGGCGAAAGAGATGGAAAAAGCATCGGCGATAGGCAACACCAGACAACTATTCAGGCTTATCAGGGAAACAGGTGGTAAAAAACAAATGATAAGCGAAACAATCTCCGAGAAAAATGGCACCATAATTAGCTCCCAGGATAGACGTCTAGAGCGCTGGAAAGAACACTATGAGGAGCAGTTTAATTGGCCCACAGCCACACTTAACCTACCGGACATCCAACACCTCCCTGAATGGGAGATAGACACAGGTCCTCCGTCCTTAACTGAGGTTACTAAAGCTGTCACCAATCTGAAGCTAGGCAAAGCAGCGGGACCTGATTTATTGACTCCAGAGGTATTTAAGTACGGAGGCGACAGTTTACTGTCTGCGTTAACGGAGGTTCTAGGCTGCGTCTGGAAATCAGAGGAAGTCCCATCGGGTTGGTGTAAGTCACTGATCATCCCGATATACAAGAAGGGGGACAAGTCGTCTTGTGATAATCACAGAGGGATTAGCTTGACTAATATAGTATCTAAAATCCTAGGCTCAATAATACTGCGTAGATTAAGTGGTGCTCGGGAGACACAAACACGAGAAAACCAGGCAGGTTTTAGGCCAGGTAGAGGGTGTATTGATCACATCTTCACCCTTCGACAGATTCTAGAACATAGGCATTCCTACCGGCGTCCGACAATCATTATATTTCTTGACCTAAAGGCGGCTTTCGATTCTGTTGACCGGGAGGTTCTCTGGCGATGCTTGGCTGTAAAGGGAATGCCAAGAAAATACATTGCACTGATTAAGGCACTCTACTCATACTCATGCAGCCAGGTGAGGGCTTATGGCGAGTTGTCATCTGACGTGGTGACGACTAGTGGCGTCCGTCAAGGATGCCCATTATCCCCATTCCTATTCAATTTCATCATAGACGTACTAATGGATTTAACCCTATCACACTTCAGCGACTCAGGGATTGACTTGCTACCAGGGAATAATCTCGTTGACTTAGAATATGCGGACGATATAGTCCTTCTAGGCGAGGACTCTGACAAAATGCAGAGTCTACTGAACACCCTGAGCAACAATCTCCGCATGTTTGGCATGCGATTCGCCCCTATAAAATGTAAGATGATGCTGCAGGATTGGACTTCATCGACCCCTAGATTAGAAATAGGAAGTGAAGTGGTAGAACACGTTGACCGCTTCACTTACTTGGGAAGTACCATCAGCCCCAACGGGTTGATCTCCGACGAAATTTCAGCACGAATACAGAGGGCTAGGTTCGCATCCGCCAGTTTTCGCCGTCTCTGGCGTAGACGCGATATCCGACTATCGACCAAAGGGCGTGTGTACTGCTCAACAGTCCGCTCCGTCCTCCTTTATGGCTGTGAGACCTGGCCATTGAGAGCAGAAGACATGAAAAGATTAGCTGTCTTTGATCATAGGTGCCTGCGTTCTATCTCCCGCGTGAAGTGGTATAATAAGGTGAGCAATATTGAGGTTAGGCGTCGAGTGCTAGGTAAGGCGGGGAAATCAATCGACGAGACTGTGAAATTACTTCGACTGAGATGGTTAGGACATGTGCTACGTATGCCTAGTCATCGCCTTCCTCGACGGGCAATGTCAGCTGATATAGGGTCAGGCTGGAAAAGAGCTAGCGCCGGTCAAACCAAAACATGGCACCAATCAATGAAATCCACAACAGTTAGTCTAAGCCACGTAGGAAGATGTAGACTTCCTGGTTGGGGTCGGGACAGTAAAAACCAATGGTTGGAAACAATTGGTGACATGGCTCAAAATCGTTCTCAATGGCGGGTGCAGATGCATCCACTCCTTGTGACTTATGATTTCCAATTAAACTTTTGTTCTCCGTTATTACTATTCCTTTTTCTGACACCTCTGTTTACTGTCTATATTATGCATTTGTTCTACTTCCTTCTCTTGCTTTGCGTGCTACATAGATTGTGGCGACTTGAACTGCCGCACATATGTGCAAAGTTCTATGTCGAAAACCGACCGACCGAATGGAAAACGACGAGTTGAGCAACCAAGGGTGACATGGAGGAGATCGTGTGAAGAGGAGATCAGAGTTTGTGGGTAAATTTAGAGCCAGATAAAGAAAACTGCAGAGAACAGGATGAATGATGATGTACTGTTGAAGACCTATGTTCCACTAGGAACCCAAGGGAGCAATAATAATGACATAATGTGTAGTCAGTAGGTACCAGGAGCATAAATTAGCTATATTTATTCAAGCGGGACTACACGTTAATTACTCTCACAAAATGGAAGAGAGAATTACGTCGACCCTTAAATATCTAGAGCATAAAACAACTGGTCTTTAAAGAAGGTTTTAAAAACATCCAGGTAATTTTTTTTTGATTGAACACTAGTTAGTGACTAGCGTCCAATCAAAGTATCCAATACAGTTAGTTCTACAGGAGGTCAGTTGCGAGCCCAAATACCTCAGTGGTAACGTTTCTGACTGTAGGACTGGGTGACGCGGGTTCGAATCTCAGAAGGGATATGAGTGCTTTCAAAGTTGCAGATACGTCTTGCTGACTGTTGGGTGCCAACTAGCAGGAAACTTAGATCCAAGGCTTCCTTTGGCCGATTGCCTCCCACCATTTAATACAGGTAAGTTTGAATTCCTACAAATAAGGTATTTATAAAACCAATACTGGAATTATTGATTACCACAAATAGTAGAGAACCTATTTTATGATAAATGAAAGTAGAAATTTGTGTTATGAGTGAGTGAATTATTTTCGTTTGAAATAATCACGACTCATTTTATTCATACATTGATTTGAATCATGATACCTATATTAATGTGACATTTACTTATTAGAAAATAAGGATATTATATATATATATATATATATATATATATATATATATATATATATGATATTTTAAAAAAGTTGGATATGAGGTCTACATTGAAAATAAATGGGTATTACTAAATGTTTGTGGCGCGGAATTACGTTCCTGTCCATCCCAAGCAAAATACTAAGCCGCATCATCCTGGAGAGGACCAAACATGCCCTGGATGAAAAACTTCGACCGGAACAGGCTGGTTTCAGGAGAAACAAATCATGCATCGATCATCATTGAACAAAGCCTGGAATGGCAGTCACCTCTCTAATTCAACTTCATCGACTTTGAAAAGGCCTTTGACAGCGTCGATCGAGAGGTGCTCTGGAAACTACTTCGCTACTATGGGGTGCCACCGAAAATTATACATCTCATCCAACAGCTATACGACAATGCTGCATGCCAAGTAATCCACAACGGGAAACTTACGGAATCCTTCGAAGTGAGGACAGGAGTAAGACAAGGCTGCCTACTATCGCCAATGATTTTCCTGATTGCAGTAGACTGGATAATGCGACAAACAGCGGGCAATGAGGAAACAGGCATAAAATGGACTCACACAAAGAACTTGGAGGATCTGGACTTCGCCGATGATATATGTCTGATTTCCCACAAACTGGAAGATATGCAAGCGAAAAGCAACAAGTTGGCAGAAGAAGCACCCAGAGAAGATAGGACTTCAGGTGAACATAGAGAAAACAGAGGTGATGAAGATTCCTGGGCAAGAACAACAACAACAGACAACAATCAGCATACATGGGAGGAACCTGAAAGAAACAACCTCCTTCACCTTCCGACCTGGGGAGCATCGTTTCAACTACAGGCGGAACTGACGAGGATATCAAAGCAAGAATCGGAAAAGCAAGACAAGCTTTCACTACTCTCAAGCCTGTGTGGAGGTCAACAACACTCAGCATCAAAATGAAAATAAGATCCGGATTTTCAACTCCAATGTGAAGTAAGTCAGTGCTATTATACGGATCAGAGACTTGCACTGTGCGTCATAAAGAGCATCTCAAACAAACTACAGACCTTCATTAACAGTTGTCTTCGCTCAATACTCAAGATCAGATGGCCGGCCAGAAAAGATCAGCAACAGAGATCTCTGGCAATGAGCGAACCAACACAGCAGGAACCGATTGTGAAACAAATAGGCAGGAAGAAATTGAGATGGATTGCAGGCCATACTCTGAGGAAACCATCAAGTGACATCACTAGACAAGCCATTGCTCGAGTGGAACCCGAAAGGGAAGCGGCGAGTTGGTCGTCAGTGCAAGGGTGACTTGGAGGAGGTCATGTGAAGAAGAGATGAAAGCATGTGGGCAGACTTGGAGCCAGGTGAAGATTCTAGCAGAGAACCGAACGCAATGGAGACGCACAGTTGAAGCCCTATGTTCCTCTAGGAATTAAAGGAAACAATAATAATAACTAAATGTTTGACAACTGGATATAAAAACTCAAACAAAAATGAAAGCATCATTGCAGTGTGATGCGTAGACATAAACTCACCGTGGACGAAGAATGGAGCTATTGCCAACAACCAATTTATTCATTACACTAGCCACAACAAACTGACGAAGAATCCTATAAAATAATAGTAATGATAATAACAATCTCTTTATTCAAAGCAATAATTTTAGGCGTTGTTCATATAGCAACGATTTGTCTCAATTTACAAATAACTACATACATAAAACAGTAAGGACTGAAGGTTAATAGAACAATAATATGTGTAATAATAATGATAATAATACAGGTTACAATTTACTATTTATTTACCCATTGAAAGGTAGGTTTATAAGATCATTTTCTGACATTTGTCTCTTCACCCAAAATCCATGCTAAACAGTATTTTTGAATTTGAATTTTTCATATTTTGCCGTAAGAGCATAAACGCTTATGAAATTCCTTCTGTTTTCAAACGAGGAAAGACAATGAGAAAGTTGCGAAGAGAGAGGATGTTCGTTATCAGACAAGATGACTTTAGCTAACTGCTTACAGGAATTAAAATGCCTATCAACAGCATTGTAACAGTTAATGGAGTCAAAGGCACACCACTAACTGTAATTACAACCTTCAATATTCTACTTAATATGACATAATCTTTTTTGAGAATCCGAGAGAGGAAAGAATAAGGGGGAACCAATAAAGAATGGGGAGAAGAGGTTGAGTTACGCCAGAAAGTCAACTTCCTTACTCAATAGACAGGTTTTCTTAGAAATCAATAAGACATGAGACGACCGACAAAGATTTGAAGAGAAACTGAAGCCAAGGTAGGTAATATTTGATTTGTTTTGATGCGGTTGTGTTCTCTGAGCTGGATAGTCTTGTTCGCATCTAAAAACTAAAATTAACGGGCTGATACTTAGAGGGATCCAATTTAAGACCATTTGAGCTAAAATACTAGTTAACCTGAGATAAGGATCTATTCATGTAAGAACAATCCAAAGCAGAAACAACTGGGACGAATTGTCATATCTTCAGCATATTTAGTGAAATCGGATTTAGAAGAATACGGTAGGTTATGCAAAAAGAAAGGAACGGAGAAAGTACAGCACCTTGGGGAACACCAGCTTCCGTAAGCAAAACAGTAGAGCGCTTTTCATTTAAAACTGTGTGTTGTTTCATAAATGAAAAGTAGGAAGACAGCCACCTTGTAGCGTAGGACTCAACGTGTACTGAAGTCTGCCAGCTTATTAAAAGTGCCCCACGAATAAAATCAAATTTTTTTTTTTTTACTTCGGCTATCTCCTACGGGAGGATGAGCCGGCTTCATGAACATCTCGAGTAAGAGAGTTCATGAAGTTTCATGGGAATTTGGTACGAGTGATGTCCCCAGAATCACTCGGCCTTTTGTTTCAGAGTGCAGCTCTAGCCTTTACACAACCAAGTGTGACGTACAAGGCAGTAGGAGTGGAGTAGGGAGTCCACTATCCATTGGCAGCCGGTGACCGGAGTTCGGTTCATACGCCTTTTTGAATGGGGCCAGACATCCAGGACATCCAACAAGCCCTTTGTCCATGCGTCTGCCGGTGAACTCCAGTGAGCTTCATACGCCAGTCGTTGGAGGTTTGGAATCAGGGTTTAGCCATCTCCCCTAGACTGTCATCCAATGGAGAGTCAACCCGGTGAAGAGCGCCGGGCATCCGCTTTCACCCTCTCACTTTGGTGAAAAACACTTCCGCCACGTGAAGGCAGTGAGTAGGACTTCCTCAGGAGAGGCTATGTAAGACGCCCGGTCATATGGGAGCATTTCAAGAGGTGTGCGGAGAGGTGGCCAACCCGCAGCGCAAGGCACCCACCCCCGACCATCCTGAGGCTTTGCAGCAATGTAGTCGAAAAAGGCGGATCGAGCAAACTTTTCACTCTTATCTAGGCTGAAAAAATATATTATGGTGCAGTGCAATAACAGCATCTGAAGTGCATCTACTGCATTCATAAGCAAATTGTTTGGGGTCACTGGAAGATGTTAAACAGGGTTTACGAACAATTATGAGAAGTGTATCCATAGTTTTCAAAAATGAAGATGTGATGGCGATTGGCCTAAACCGTACACTTGGCACAGATGATTTTGGTACGGGTACGATCTTTATTTCTTTCCAATCAACAGGTGCTGTATCCTTATGAAATGATGTATTAAAAATTTGTGTAAGAGGATGATACAAAACATCTGCATACTTTCGAAGTAAAATTTCTGACACTCCATCAGAAACTAAGCTGTGTGACAGACTTAGGGATTTGAGACACGTTAATACATCCCTTTCATTAAAACCTGGAAAGTAATCACTTATGTGACTAGGGGCATCAGGTACAACTATATTAACTTGTTGCTTTAGAAAAGATCGATTTAAGGCGTTTATATATCAGAATAACCATCAACAGAAATTTTTTATGGTTTGTAGGCCGATTAAAAAGCGTTCAGATGTTGGAAGCTTTTTTACATAATAAAAGGTGGAAAAGATCACTTTGAATAAAACTTAAATTCGCAAGTCAAGATCAACAATATAATCTTAGAGAATAGTGCTGCTAACCATAAAATTTCTATTTTATCGTTTGACTACTCATAAGTAGCACGATTAACGTTACTAAATTCCTCATGTACTGGAAAGGCAATTACCTGGAGTGTAAACGAATCAATTTGAAGAGCTAATGAACTATAACATGGTTTGACTTTAGGGATGTTTCAGTTAAAACAAAATAGATAGAAACCGATAATTTCAAGGTTGCGTTTAGGAAAAAAACTGAGACAGTCCCTTTGATTATTTAAATAGGTCATTAAAGAGACGTGAGCTGGTAGTTTAATAAAGATGGCTTTCTTTGGTTCAAGGGTAACCAAATCATGCAGTTGACAATTCGAAGGTTTCAGCTAGCTATGAAGAACACATCCTATGCCATAGCCCACTTTCCTCACATCTCGAAAGTTTGCAATTCCTTTGACTACAATAAAAAAAGATGAAATCCTATGGACTCTACTTCACACTATATCTACAAGTTCACCTTCACAGTTTCGGTGACACATAGATAGAACCAATAAAATGTTCTAATGTTACCGGTAAGAACATATTCCAAAGTAGTTATTAAGTCACATAGAAAACCCAAATGCAATTAATCTGAATAGAAATCCAGCACCATCCATTGCAAAGCATTTATTATTGTTCTGTCACAAAATCAATATTAATGACTGCTTCTGAATTATTTTACATAGCTCTAATTCAATGTTATTAAAGGTGATAGAAGCACTTTAGATTAATCGCATGTATCGCAAACTACTTGTATAAAAAGTAAGACTTCAACCAGGGACTAATTAACCTACTAAAATATTTTACGAGTTGATCACGGACTGATATCAGTTAGAGAACCATTGAAAACCAGGGAGCACTGGACAGCTGCTGTTTCATCCTAGTTTGGGAATCATCGGCAGTACGCACCCACTGGGATTCGAACTCAGGACCTTCCGGTTACAAGGCAAGTTCGTATACCATTCAGCCACTGGGACCCGATTCAATGGCTCATGAATTCTAACTTCTACCAATTCGTGATTTTAGCGCGACCCCAACTATTGTCGTTGGTGGGACATCCATCCACACACGTGACTTCTAATTGGACCTCACTGGTCACGACTTCTCACTAGAACTCCAGGAAGCTCCAACCTGTAGCAAGTCACTAGCGAGCATCGGAATAATTTTCTATAGTTTGGTTTGTAAGGAAAGCATTCAGAGTGCTAATAATGTAATAATACTAATAATGTATCAGTAAATTTGATTAGTTTAAAAGATAAACACCTGACGAAATGTTGGAAAGTTGTGATTAATATTAGGGAAGGAATTGTTGTAATTGCGAAGTGGTGGATGGATGAATACTAGGCAGGAGAAACACTGTAAAATAAGCTCATTTGGATAAATATTTCACCTTAGTTTGGGACTCCTAAGCAATTTATGGTCTGTGTCATCAATTACCATTGATAACAGGATGTCTTCTCATGTAATCATCCATCTTGAAGTTAGATATTTTAGGGAGTAGTTGAGATTCGACCGATTTCAGGGTAGGGTTTCACATAATTTCTGTAAAATTACTTCGTATAATGTGAATAATTATTTCACCAAACATTTCCTCTTAGCGCTTGAACATTGTAAACGCTCCGATAAAAAAGAACATAAGACGCAAATGTGCATATCCTATTCGATTTTGTTATCAAAACGATTCTTTAAAGAGCAGCAGCTGTTTTGCAGCGCAAGCCTACATGTCTAATTCGTGATTGATTATCATACTATTTATTGTTTTTATCTACTGTTGTCAACAACAGGTTGGAAAATCAAAGAATGTAACTGTCAAGATTTCTACAGGTAGAAAATAAAAATAACATGCTGGGTTGGTTTTACAACTAGACATAACAATATCACTCATTTGTAGGTTATCACAAGTTTGTTATTGGTTTTATTGACGCTTTCACTTTAATTCTATTATGTTTTTGCAAAACGTTGAGGTGAAATAGGGGCGCCGAACTGGTGACAGACGCGGTAATTACGAGTATCGTTTGTCTACGTCAACAACATATAAACAAACACAGCTAACCGATCCCTCTTAGCCCTTAACTTAAGAGAGCAGAAAGCACACAAAAGATGGGACGGATATTAAGTATGTTTTCACGATAATGTGTAATTCAAAAAATCACCAAAGATATATCAGTTAGTCTGTAAGCATGATCAATAAAATAGTGGGCGTTATTTGACATAAGCCAATTCTGACTGGGTTATTTCCAGACTGGATATCGACCACCATATCAAATTCATGCTTTGTAAGTTTAAGAGTATCAATAACAAAGACAAACGACGACAATATATCATCACTTTATGGTTCCCTTGTTACACTAAGTGGGGTTAAGTAGTCGGGGGAAAATTATTGACAGACCAAGTTTACATGAAGATAGACTGATAATTATTACGAGTTTTACCTACCTTTGACTTAAAGTCCTTTAGTTATGCTGTCCTGGGGTTTGAACCTTTTCGTGAGCACAGTATCTTCTAATTACAAACTGTTACCCATATGTTTAAATTCTACACTCCCATACAGCGTAGTTTCAATTACTCAGCGATAAAATATAGGACTTAGTAACCTTAGTAAGTTCGGCAAAATTGAATATCAGTTTAAGTTGCCGTACTTTATGTCAACGGACCGAGGTACAGGTTTGTAAGCAGAAGAAAGACAATGAACATGAAAGTAACATCAGCAGTTATGAAAAGTAATACGGCAAAAAGGAACAATGTAAAAAGAAAGTCTGTAAATGCAACTGTAGTTAATTTAAGTTGTAGGCCCTGCAAATCATTCCAAAATAATATTCTCATACCCACAGAAAGCCAATCACATTCACAGTATCCTTACATCTAAGATCAGGCAATTTTGAAGATTGTATATTTTCAGTGAAGTAGACGGCTACAGGACCGTTACCATTGGCACACTTAAGTTGAATGGAAAAACTAACATTAGTTTCAAGATATTTGTGTTCCGACTAGGCAGGCGAAAGAAGATACAGTCAATAATGAGGAATTACATTTTGGCAAGACACAATGCATTTTCGCGTCGGTGGCACAGAGGTAGAATGCTCGTTGACCACGAAAAGTGGTTCGAGGTTCGATCCCCGGCCGACGCATTCCAGTAATAAGACTGGGAAAGAGGGAAGGTTGGGCATGATGCTAGCAGCCCCAACCTGTAAAAATAAACACCACTGCTACTGAAACTTCAAAGCTCTAGCTTAAAGCCCTATGTTCCACTGGGAACGTAAAGGAATAAAAAAACTTTTTTAAATGCATTTGACGAACTTTACAGGCAAATAAAATTTACTTTCATTACATTCAAAAACAGACTGGAAAATTAGTAATACAGATGGATGCTGAATCAGTTTTAATTCGATTTATTTTCTAGTAAGGTTGAATGAATGAAAGCTTTAAGTAATTAAGAGATGAGAATTTCTAAGGCCATGTGATACGAATGAAAATTTCGTATATATAGATAGCAAAGCAAATTTTCGAAATATATAAATAAAACAATGTGACAATAGGTTAAATCAATACTTACGCAATCGGATATTATGTCACGTGGCTACATCACATATTTTAGAATGGAAACCACGTGAACAATCCTTTTAGAGAAAAAAAGCTATACTAAATAAACATACAGACAAGATATTTCGAAAAAAAAGTAAAATCCGATCTTTTTGATCAATAGATGCACTTTCAGAAGAAGACGAAAAAGAAGAAGAAGAAGATTAAAGTCATTCTGCATAATTATTCGACGGATCAGATAGAAAAAGAAAATATAAGGACATACATACTATTTGAAACAATACAGGACAAATAATACAAACAATAAATAAATAAACATCAGGAAGTGTGTCTTAGTGGAAGATAATCATAATAATTACAATGTAGAAACTTTTTTAAAAGAAACAAAGGACACTTAAAAATAAATACGACCCGCCACGTACTTATTACAATAATATAGAAGGCATATCCTGCTGACTGATTGCTTATTTAGAATAAGCGTAATGGATTAATCTAAAATTAACATAACTGTCAATAGAATACACTTTGTCTGAGCAACTAGTGAGTAAAAGGTCAATCTATTTACTAAGAAATTAGCACGAATCCCAAAAGTAAATAGGAACTATTTAACTGTAAGTCTGAATGCATATATATATATATACATATGGTTCACAGATTGTCTACATTTTGGTTTGAGGAGTAAAATGTTGTAACAATCCACACAACATTCTTTTAAATAAAAAAAGGATTGAAAATGTGTTTCACAGAAGAAACGTCAGTAAAAATGAAAACATGATTTCTTACTGGAAACTTACCGAATAGATTTTAGCACCAGTAAGGGGTCATCTGAACAAATATCTTTTTCAACTGAAGCCTCAAGACGAGAGACAACCTCCTGCCATAGACTAGAAACCCCTGGACTATTGGTTCGGTCTATAGGTTGGTCAAACGATGGAAGACTTTGAACATTAGAGTCGATAGATGGAGTCTTGAAAAAGAAGAAACACAGCTTTCTTACAAATTCAAAAACAGGAACTGTACTTATAAATTATAAGATAACATCCTAAAATATACTTAATCATCATACATATAAACAAACAAATAGGTACTCCTATATTTAATACACGTAATACAAAGAACTAAGGAACTTCTGTAGAAAAACATGATGTAATCCCATTAACAGGCACGAAATTAATTCCATACAAACTGTAAGTAGTTGACAAACTCAGAAAACTGTCACGGTAGAGAGACAGATAAGAGAAACGAAATTCGATACAATAAATGCACCATGGAAAGTTAACTGAAGAAGTGCTGAAGTGATAAGGTTTATAAGAATAATTATTTCAACAGCATCACAGAAAATGTCTTCCTCCAACTACTTTTCAACATTATTTCAGTCTAGCTAATAACATATAGATATGGACAAAACACGTCCCAGCTGTCTTAGCGACTTACAACCTCAATGACTAGTTCACTTGGTGCTATATATCTAACCCACTATATTAGGACAGACGAACTACCATTGTTAGCCGTAAATTATGATTGATGCAATAGATTAGATATTGATTATTTATAGTTTGAATTTCCGCAGATATGTAAACGAAATATACACTTTATTGTGAGTAGTAGAGCTGTTGTTGTCGCGGTTGTCCCAGATAAATCTGACTTCAGTGTGTACCTTAATGGGGGGTGAGGAATAGTTCCAAGTGATCAGTTGGTTACAGTGTTGTGACTGGAAGCTCAACAACAAAAATACTAAACACTCCGTTACAACACACTACAATGCTTATATGGTGATTACATCAAACCCGGGAGATTAGTAATGGTCAAATACACAATGCATTCACAGATATTATATTTTAATAACAATTTTTTACAATCATACTGCAAACCCTTAGGGAGTAGTCGGGTATCTCACCTACACCAAAATTAACAAATATGAGGAAAAGTGAACCCAGATTTTTGTATATGTAGAAAGCTTTTATAGAGCACCGAACAACAAGGATTTATACGAATATCAAGGTGACATCGTAGATGAGCATAACTACTTAATAGGCTAAATTGAGAAAATAAATAGTAGCAAAACGGTAATGAAATAGTAGTTTACACTTGGAGAGCGAAGTATACTTTGACTGGACACTAGTAACTAGTGTGATGCGTCTACTCCTTTCTTTGGTGCAGACTGAATTCTGTGTCAGGTTTGCAATGTGGCCACCATTCTAGGTAGCTCGCCTCACGGTGTACATTGATTTGATGATTGCTTCCAACCATCTAATATCATCAGGACAGACGTATTTCCAACATTCATAAAGTGACACTCATTGTTCATCAGACTTTGCAATTAATAGTTCCCAGGTCTCATCCCTCCCTAACTACTTCAGTTTTGGCAACTGGGTCGTATCCTCAGCCCTAACACAATAGGTGTGGCTCATAGTGCTGCACTTGAAAAAATTGTCCCAGGTGAGTGAGTTCTGACTCTAGCTGAGCATCTTTTTAGTACCCTCACATAACAAGACACTGTCTATCTGCACCTGAGTGAACATTCAGGTCTTCGGGAAAGTCTATTCATGAGAAGTTAGAAAAGCAGAAAGTAATACTAATACATAAATTTGGTTAAAAATAAAGACAATGAGAGTGAACATTTCACAGGACACCTCACTATATCGTCTAGGAAGATATTGGCCGTCCGGACACAGTGTGTTCATTCAAATGTCATTACATCTGAAGATCGACAGATGATGCAGGTGACAACACATGTCTCTGCTTCAATATATCAGGAAAGATGAGTTTATCCTGAATGTCTTTGGATTTCTGGTTCCCAAGCTCCACGTAAGAGTTGAATGATTACAGAAAGTGGATTTTAGAGGCCACGCTGAGTGAGTTACCTTCTTCGAAACCGTTAAACTAGAATTTATAATTCGCAGAAACTTGAACGACCAGTGAGTTAGGCAGCATAGAGGGAAATATTTTACAGCTAAAGTATATTAGCATGACTAATAATAACCACCCTTGGATATCTCCTTTATCTGTCCAAATCATCTACGACTTCTTCGATATACAGGAATGCTGGTGGCTTTATATATTATTCATATAGTGCCCAGGGAATGGGCAAAGGAAGAGTTTCAAGTTTGATCACGCATTGACATTAGTTGGATGACCACTGAAAACCAAGGAGTAATCGACAGCTGTCTTGTCCTAGCTTGAGACTCTTCATCAGTAGGCGCTCATGGACCCACCGGAGACTGAACCCGGGAACTCCCGGTTACGAGGCGAGCCTGTTGTTTATTCAGCCACTATGAGAGGACCCAGTGGCTCGTGAATTATAAGTTCCATCAATTCACGATTTTTAGTGCCACCGAGAGAGTAGCTAGGGAACAGTTGGGTGCTTTATCAAAAGTCTCTACACAGGGATGAAGTTGCCTCCCGTAAGAGAAAACAATTGACTCGTTTCCATACTTCCTTACGATTATATTCATTTATACAACTTGGAAGACTGGTATTACCATAATTAATTGGACGTCTCACAAAACAAAAACAAAGATTTGATACATCAGCTATTCATATTACAAAACTCAACCCGGAGAATACGTCTCAAGCCAAAATATAGTTTATTTTTTGCATTTATGATATTAGGTGAGTAGCAACTCAAAGAAAGATAATTCTACCAGAGAACAAAATTCTGTAATTACATTAGGAGCAGTCAAGTGGATATCAAATTGCAGAACCATGTTTCATTAAGCTGAAGCCTTAAAACTACGTGATTGCAGAAACGCTTTGAAGAGAGAGGCCAAAAGTGGAACATAATATATTCATTGAGTAGAAAAGATATCCAAACAAGTGTATAACGACACACTAATATTCAATAGAACAAATTTAGATTCTTTATTTTCGTCCTATGTAGACCAAATGAATTAAACTATCATTTATTTTGGAACCACCTCAAAACTTCATAAACACTTAGAGATCGTTATTAGAGCCTTGAGCTCTTACTCATTTTCAGCAAACAGGTTTGGGGTCTTGAGTTTTGGATAATGTGTAAGCCATCCATATATTGCTCAGAACCTGTCTGAAATAGTCCTGAGCCTACTTTTAAGTAGAAAGAATGTTGATATTATGGATTCAGACAAATAATTTATTTGGTCAACGGCTGAACGTGCAGAATTAGTCAAATTGGACGGAAATGTAGTTAAGAAGGAATTGTCCTATATAAAGGCTTTGACTTCATCGCATAAACTATGAGGGAATTACACATTTTGTATACGAAATGCGCCTTAAGTGAAGAAATGCAATGACACCTTGTTGACTATGTACATTCGTGTTCTGAAATCCGCTAATACTTCTGATTACATCCTTCAATCAACTCCAAAATCCCTATCTTTTTAACACACCAGTTTTTCTGCATACATTTACTAACAGATCACAACCGAATTCGGGGCGAAGTTATGGCTTTTGCAAATGGGAAACCGTACACAAAATGTGGCAATTTGGTGAATATGTTTTCGTTTTAAAAACTAAAATCCAAATTTTACTAAGCAACTGGAGTGGAACTGCAAATTACCAGAAGGAAAGTATTCAAAGTTTGAATTAAAGAACACCCAACTACTGGCTCTCATATAAAGCGTACATAAAAAATGTTTCAAAAATAACAGCGCAAAACTATGCGCAGCAAACACTAGACTAAATAACATAAAAACTTATCGTATGGTAAGAAAATGAATAAAAAGCCAAAAACTTACCATTACGCAAGAAGGTCGAGAACCGCGCCAAACAAGGACGAATGTTCAGCAGTCCAATATCCAATATCCAATATCCTGATTACGAGCTAGTATAAACCAGTGATTTCTTTGAGCTCGCTTCTTGGTTTTAAGGTAGAGGTTCCAGATCTTCGGTGAACTTATGCGTAGTAAATCCCGCCACTCGACTGCTTTAGCTCTGGTAGACTCCAGGAGGAGTGATGCGAGGATTGGTCAAGATTGTGGTTTGTAGTGTGCAGTATGTTAGGACTCAGCTGCTGCCGTGAATGGAGTTTGACCTAACACCCGTCGGTCATTCGGTATAGTCATAAAAGTAGAGTAATAATAATAATAATGATAATGATAATAATAGGTTGTAGTGTAGATAATATAGGTTGAGATAAGTGAAATAATAAAGAAAGAAAGATAGAGTAGTCGGTACAGTGGGAGAAGACAGGACGGGTCGTGAAGATTTAGCTTGTATGCTTATCCATTGACAATGTGGTTTCAAATTTTAAGAGGGTAAGCCATTGAGACACAAACCATGCATTTCTGCATGATTGTCCAGCTTCCGCTTAAAAATCTCCACAGATGGAGCTGTAGTTACGGCCGCCGGTAAAGCGTTCCAGAGACGGCAAACTCGAAGCGAGAAGAAATGTGAACGCACTCGAGTCCTTGGTCTCTGGTGTGCTATCCTTAGCGGGTTACCTCGTGGAAGCCTATAATCACTTAATGGCAGGATGCTCTTGTTAGGATGGGCCTGGTCATTTAGGATCTTATAGACGGTGATGAGGTCTCCCCTGTGACTACGGTAACTAAGTGTGAAAAGACTTAATTTCTTCAGTCTCTCCTCATATGATTTGTTGCGGAGGCCGATCACCCATTTTGTCGCTCGTCTCTGGACACTTTCTAGCATGTTAGCATCCCTTTTGAGTAGCGGAGGAGCAATGATATTATGCACCTCAAGGAGTGGCCTCACGTATGTCGTATACAACGTTAGGAATAGTTCAGGAGTAAGAGCTCCCAGTTGCCTATGCATAAAGTGTAAAGTGCCGTAAGCTTTGGCGACGTCCCTCGTGTAATTTACACTGGTGTCTAGCTTTTCTGTTAAAATAAGGCCTAGATCGCGTTCTGATGGCACACAACTCAAGTTCTGGCCACCAAGGGTGTAATTTGCACTCTGTGACCTGCCGGAATGAAGTTGCACTACTTTGCACTTCTTTAAGTTGAAAGGCATTCCGTTAGCCAGAGCCCAGTCCCCCAGCGTTTGCAGGTCAGCCTGCAATCTGTCGGAGTCTTCCGATGAGTTTATTGCTCTCCAAATCTTTACGTCGTCAGCGTAAAGAAGCGCAGAGCAATTCAGTTGACAGGGCAGGTCATTGATAAAAATCAAAAACATCAACGGCCCTAAGATAGAACCCTGAGGAACCCCTGATGCCGAGGTGTGCCAGGATGATCGGATGCGGTTGACTTTGGTGCAGAATTCTCTCTCGCCTAAATAATCTTCCAGCCATGCGAGAAGTGCTCCAGAAACACCCGCTTTGCTTATTTTGTGAAGGAGCAGACCATGGTGAACCGGTTAACTAGCCGTCAGCGGAAAGACAATATATATAACGACTTTTCGCTGTTACAGATAAAGCTGTAAAGGATGTATAATTACGATAAAAAATAATTTCCTCATTCAGACAACCTCAACGTTATGGAAATGAATTCAAACAAAAGATTTAGCGTCCGGTTATACGCGAGTCAAGTCACAAAATACATAAGATAACCAACTTACTATAATCCAGACACAACTATTCAGATGTGTCTGCGTGCTCCAGCAACAGGACCTTTGGGCTTCAAATACCCTGCTTGAAGGTTACTGAGCTTGTTAACTTCTTGGCCTTAACCAGAAATAACACAAAAACAAAACATATAAACCAGAACATTTCTGTACCCTACCCCACCCTTACTATTTTAGCCAGGATTCTCACAACACAACGCCTATCCTGTAGATTCAAAAGTACTTGTTCTGGTGAGACTAGAGACAATTCAAAACTACAAACTGACCATTGCGACTACCAGATGCATTTGGGAATCAGTAACGTTTAGCGATGTTGACTCCATAACTAGAGTGCACGAACAAATAAACGTAACAAGACAATGTGCCAAGTTCCATGGGCACTTGGCTGTGTACCTACAGCCCAACAAGGGTGCTTAAACAGTGAAGGTTGGCATCCTGCATTCAATGGGTAATTCTACAGACTGTTAGGGAATTATTGACGACCACTCCCTGTTATAATGCAATTCAACACTGTAAGCTCCTCTTCGTGACTTTTTCACCAATATATGAGTAGAAACGCATATTCTTTCAAGATGACTTGTTTGAAAAATCGATCTTTATCCCCTATTTTCGACACCGTGGTCATTTGCATATATCAACCATACTTTGAGGCTGCATCTGAGCGTTTCAGTGGTAAACTTACCCCACCTCTCCACAATAATGATCCGCTTCATTCTAAAAACAGTACTTATTATACAGCATGGAGTTTTCAGCATTTGTAACAATATCGCATCTAGTTCATTCAATAAAAATGAAATTTAACCACAGAAACGTTTCCGGATTTACAATTGGAATAATAACTACTATTATACTACAGGTAATAATAACAGGAATTTTTGTTTCAAACATTATTGTCTGTACAATATGGAAGTTTAAGTATGTTTTAGGGCAGTCAATCTAATTTTCTCTTGGTTTGCCATGTTGAGGGGAAAAACGGAAAGGAGCAATTGTTGGAGAGCTTAAATGGTGTTTACACTTATGAGAGGATAAAAAAATGAGAGAACTATAAATATACGAATAATAAAAGTAAGGTTTGATGGTATAAGGATTGGGAGAATTCTTTAATTAATAGTGGAAAGGTTAGTTAGTTCTTGACTGACACTATTTCCATCACATAAAATAGGTGCCAGTTATAGCATCGTGGAATTTTTATACTTTGACGTGATCGCATAAATTCTTTTGAAATGATTCCTTGCTTTACCTGAAGAGACACAAGGTGAAAACTACCGGTAAAGTGGACCCTCACAGTCTAGAAAATCCTTTTAACAAATTTGTTGCATGAAACTATGCACCTATCAGTGACAATGTCAGCTATATGGCCCATTTGGATATCACTCGCCCTATTGACAGTCCTTAGAGTCCTGCAAACTATGATGTAGTCTATTTTAACCAGCCCAGGAAAGAATCATTCGATCTTGGTAGAAATAAAAGTTGTCAGAAGAATACTATGCATAGTCCTTCTGAAATGTCACACTGCTTACGGTTGGTAGTGCCTTTCTATCGAAGAGTAGCCTGCAGCTCCCTCCTACTACCGGTACATGTGTTACGTAAGTCAAATCAGTTGTAATAGTCATTCACTTTCACGTCACCAAGATACTTTGGATTTCCCCAGGAGATACCTTTGTCTATGCTAGGTATGGAAGTTTCACTTGCGACTGATATTTTTTACGACGTCTTAAGTAGTATCTGGTCTGGAGAGACTTCTTGAAATTGATGTTGAAACGCGGAAGCATATATAGTTATGGATGGTATTATCCCTTAAGGCACAGGTGGTGAAAGCGAGTCCGACTTAAAACTTCCTACCAAAGTGATGGGAATGGTACAAATGTTTGATAAGGAAATTATTCAAGGGAAATACTTTGGTCGTATAGAAGTAAGTGCTACTGAAGACTCCGTAATTACTGCATTTTACATGTGTAAACTATCTTCCAAAGTTAAAAGTGACACCTAAATATGAAGGCGTCGTTTGCTTGCTTGAAAAAGAATGTAATGTATATGTGTGATAGTTGAAATCACAGAGAAATGCAGTCATTACCACAGAAGGTGAGAAAGAATGAACCGTTGTGAGGGGGCATAATGAAGTAAAAAGCTATGTGACCTTTACATTTCTTTCTTCTAATTGCAGCGGAATCAATCGTACACTTCATTCGTTTAATTTCAGAAGAGTCCAGTAGCATCAGTCAACCTGGTCACAACAGTTCAATACAGGCGAAATAATTATAACTAACAATTGGGTACAGAGAATTAATGATTGCTATTTTTCACCAAATATAAGTCCCATCCTGCTGAGTACATTTTTCTTATTCTATTATTTCAGTGGAAATGAACTTCTTATCATGACGACATAAAGGCTTGACTCAATAATAAGACGTGAAAGGTGGTTGGCGACATAGTTCAGTGTAAGTGAAACAGTGTTGTGCTTGTTACAGCCGAATTTACTCAGTTACTTGTCTAATGCAAACGTCGCGTGAAATTCTATGTTAACACCCTATATATATTTTTTCCGATCTATTTGGGACACACCAGTTGAACAGGCATGGATATGTATTATTTACATTATAGAAATTTTATTTAGGGTGAAATTATATGGTCTCTGTCTGTTAATCGCGACAGATAGATAGACTATATGATAGACAGTTAATCAACATGATGTGACCTTCCTGTCGCGATTATTGGTCAGTTTATTGCAACTCTCACCACGTGATGTTGACCTTGAATGTTCTTTTTTGTCTGTCACTCTATTTGTGTATACATGCAATTAATTGACTGTTCATTTTGTCCGTACCCTCAATACTGTTCGGTACGTTTTTGTCCTGTTTTTGTAATGACAGTGGATATGTACATTTTTCTTGGTGTAATTGTATGATTTATTTTATGTTTTAGAAACAGATAAAGTTAAAGTCAAGTTATTCTGTTTTAACTATAGTTAAGCCCAGACTCTAAGTCGTCAGTATTGAGGAAGGACTAAATCTGTAGGACAAAAATAATCCTACACTGTCCTTTCCGACATTAGTTTGTGAGTACAATCTGCTAACTAGTTATTCAATGGAGCACATTAAGAAATATAGAGATATTGTCTTTGCATTAACAAAAAACCCAAGTATGTGTTAGATGGATTACAAACATTTATGAAAAAATAAAGCTTGAAGTCAATTCCTCCATATAACTTTGGTGTGTGTGGCATAGTTTCTTGTTCTTGATTTATATTCAAATTGGGTAA